GCAGTGCTTTTTCAGAAGTACCTGGGTTTCAAGATGACCAGGGCTACTATCTCCTGCAAAGTTGCATTGACCACCTCCTAGATCCCCCTGGCCACCCCCCCCCCGGGAAGATTTGATAAACTAAGAGGGGCAAGAATCAAGGAAACATGTTGTTTGCTCCGTCATCATGTCATCTGACCCCAGCAGCTGAAACTGGTCCCACAATAGTTCTGCAGACCTTCTCACTGAACATCTCACTGAAGATGTAAATGTGGCATCAGGATTGCTATGAAGGCGAGTAACTTTACCCTGAGTGCCTTATAAACAGATCACAGCGGGCGTCTGAAGGGTCTAAAACTCCCCGGAGTAGATGTTAACAGGCCCTGGACATTGAGAGCACTTGGTGTTTTGCATGGTAAATTTGTGGAAGAAATAAGACTGATCTCTCCACCCTTTTCCATCTGTTTTCTTCTGCTGGCGATGTACTGTTGGTCTATTCTAGACTTTGGCTTATTTGTCTCAACATGTACTTCAGAAATAATAATACTCAACATTTGCATAATGCTTTCAAGGTACTTCATAAGCATTATGAACCTGCAATCGGTGAAACAAACTTGAAAAGTAAGTCATTATAATTATTTCCCCATACTACAGGTGAGGGAACTGCTGATGACTGAGTGAGCGGCCTGCTAAAGGCCACCTATTGACTTCCTCAAACCGGGGACTTCCTGATGGCAGTCAGTCATTTAATTACCATGCTATAGTGCCAAAGTGGCAGAATAGACAAGTACCTCCTCATATTCCTCCCATATATCCGGTGGGATATATGCTTGGTGGATGGGGGTGCCGTGCAAAATAGAAAACCAGCACTGTGGTCGAATTTTCCTCCATGACGTGGTAGGTTTCTGTTTGCAGGGAGGGCTTTTTTATTTTATTTTAAAGAAGACAGAGGACCTTTTGCTTGCAGTGGTGCAGTCAGTTCTGCCACCTTAGCAGTTTGTCACTTTATCCTGCTATGTGAGTACACCAGGACTGTGACCAGGGGCTCATTTTGATGGCAATAAATCTCTGATGAAGTATGAAATGATCCTGTTGTCCTGCTTCTCAGCTCTCTGGCTGCTGTTTCCGGTTACTCCTCTTTTTTTACTGTCACTCCCTAGACACCTTTCATCAGCAGATGAACCGTAATAACTTTGCCTGGTATTCCCCTAGCATTTCCTGGCCCCACCCCTATTTTCTACCTACTCTCCAGAGAACGTTGGTATCTGTGATGTAAAAACACACCCAGACGGCTCATAGAAAGAGTCGTCTCCTGCGGAAAGATTTCCGTGGCTCCAACAACTATGAGTAGAGCAGGTGGTGCCCTCCATACATTTTGGAGGGCATATTCACTGGGGTTGATGGGAATTGTGGTCCAAATTTCTGGAGAGCACACAGTTGGGGAAGATAAATGGAAGGATATTCAAGAGCTGGTTTTGGATATATTTCATCCCATACCAATATATGCCAAAGTCAGTTCTATGAATTAACTGGTTATGTACTTTACCCTGAGCCTTTGAAAAAAGAAAGAGCAGAGTCTTTTGTTAGTGATTACTCAGTGCACAACAGAAAGCATGTTAGAGCAACCTTTAGCACACATCCACCACCTCTGCAGAGGTTGTGTAAACTTGGTCTTGGGTGAGTTGTTGTGACAGTGGTAAGTGGAAGACAGGTTTTCTTAGAGTGCAAAAACCCCTTAGAAATCAGAATCCCATTCAGTTCAGTGGGGGTTCATTCCCAAATAAGTAGCATTGCAGCCTCAAAGAGTGCATGTGTGTGTTTAATTTGGTGTACATGCACTATTTTATTCTAGAATCAATGGAGCCTTAGTACTTTTTTCCCTATGCAGTCCACACACAGTCTAGATCTACTGCATATTTCTGCCTCCCAGAAAAGGGCTTCCTGAGAAACTGGTTTCTTTCAAAAAAATAAAAATATAAGCTCATTCCAGGTTGGCTTTGCAGTTTGTCCATTTGATAAGAGGTGAAAGCAGACATCAGCAGTCCTGGCAATGGGGTGTGTGTGCCCACGTCTACACCTGCCCAATGACATTGTGGGTGGGCGTATGCCAGGATACCAATCACCACTTCCTTCTTAAGTCATCGGGGGCATGTGCATGGAGGAAAAGGTGTGAATAACCCAACCAAGGGAAGAGTTTGAGATGCTTATCAAGTAACCATGCCCATCCTTGTGGGAGGTAAGATCTAGAATAATTTGGACTTAATCTAAGTGGAAAACAGCATGTTGAGGATAAGTGTGAGTAATTCTGGATTGAGAAAAACCTACATTTTCCCGCCATAAACTGGTTAGTGTGCATGCAGCCTATAGTTATCACCTTGTCATCTCGCCATGTCAAATTTGGCCCGCAGGGGGCAAGGAAGATAAGTGCCTGTCAGCTGATCCAGCTGATGCCTAACATATGGGCTGTGGATTTTGCATTAGGCTTAAAAGGGGGCATAGGTAAAGGGACCCCTGACCATTAGGTCCGGTCGTGGCCGACTCTGGGGTTGCGGCGCTCATCTCGCTCTATAGGCCAAGGGAGCCTGCGTTTGTCCGCAGACGGCTTCCGGGTCATGTGGCCAGCATGACTAAGCCGCTTCTGGCGAACCAGAGCAGCACATGGAAATGCCGTTTACCTTCCCGCCGGAGCGGTACCTACTTGCACTTTGACGTGCTTTCGAACTGCTAGGTGGGCAGGAGCTGGGACCGAGCAACAGGAGCTCACCCCGTTGCGGGGATTTGAACTGCTGACCTTCTGATCAGCAAGTCCTAGGCTCTGTGGTTTAATCCACAGCGCCACCCGCGTCCCTGCAAAAGGGGGCATATGTGTATACAAATACATGCAGACAGGGCTTCTCTGAGCATGTGGGAACCTTGACTGGCCAGCCCTGTTGGAAGTTCAGTGGGGACCAATCCAAAGGCAGGAGCTTCTCCAACTTTGTGTGGAGCAGTTTGGGAGGACCCTGAATAACTGAATGGGAGGGAACTGCTTAAAACCAAAGTGCATGTCTGGAGGTCCATATGCAGCTCTTTGAATCATGCTCCACATCTGAAATCCCAGCAGTCAAAGGGTGGCAGTTTTCATTGTGTTTTTTGACCACTTTGAGATCTGTAGCCCCCACCCAAGCTGCTGTCTCCATGGTTCCTTTGGGGGGAGGATGACTATTTAACCAGACATGCTTGCTGTTTGGATCTTAGCCTTTCTGTCTGCTAGAATGCCACCTATGAAGTAATTACTCAGAGTTTTGATTGCAAAATGCCTCCTGAAACTTCCCAGATGATATTAATCATTGTATTTTTAACTTTGCAAAGCTCAAGTGAAAGTTACTGTGTCTTTTATTGGCTAAGCTTGGAACTTTTCAAAAGGAGCAGGTTATGTAGTGACCATCCACAAGGAGCAGAAACATGTTTTGTTTTAAAATGAGATGAAAAGCCAACCCATCAAGGATGTGCAATAACACCAATTTTGAAGATCGTATTAGATAACAAGAACCCTACAGGAAAGACTAGCTTAAGCCGGATGCCCTAGTGGTTTGACACAAAAATGGACCTATAGGCCCCTGGAGTAATGTGTTTTCTGTGTACAGAGAGCAGGTTTGGATGGTCATAGCAGAGGACAATGGTAAAGAATCCTGAAACCTAATAGAAGAATAAACTGTAATGGGTGTTATTGCGTTAAAACAGCCTGTTCCAATATGGTGCCCTCCAGGCGTTGAAACTACAACTCCCATTAGCCCCAGTGAGTATAGCCATGCTGCCCAGAGATGATGGGAGTTGCAGGCCAAAACACTTGGAGAGGACCCTGGTCAACAAAGGCTGAATGCCCCTCACTGATATCATAGGGTTATTTGTGCTGTTGTTTTTGATCTTAATCCCTCTCCCCTGATGTAATTTCAGGACTGGACAGGGCCTCTCCATGAGGGTCAAGGCAACAGACATCAATGGTATGGAGAACAGCATCTCCCAAGAGATGATTGTGAAATGAGGGCCACTTCACACATTACTCAGAGGGAAAGCCCAATTTGACACTCATAGGGCACACTTAAATAGGAAGCTATGGCCACAGCTACCCCAATCCACACTTTTGGTGTACTGTACGGTTGAATTTTATTAGGTATACACTTTTAAAAAGTGATAGAAGGCAGTGAAACCCACATTAGAGGAAGGCACTTACCGTGGCTGGTGATGGGAGTTGTCATCCCAACAAAATCTACAGAGGACCAGGTTGGGATTGGCTGCTTTGGGCATTCCAAAAATTTTAGGTATAACACTGCTTCCAGAACTGTCCTATTGTCTGCTCACCCCCTCTGACTTTCCTACCATAGTCTGGTGGATTATCCATGGAAATGGCTCAGCATTACATCTTGAATCACTAGACATATAACGAGGATTCTCAAAAAAAAAAAAAAAAAGGACAGATAAAAGAAAAGAAAAGAAAAGAAAAGAAAAGGGGGTTTTCTAGAGGCTGTGATCTCTTCCACTTTACCTCCTGTCTACTATGAGTACTGACCACTGGAGCTAGTGTTTGTCTTCCCTGTTTAGTAGGCCTCCTGGGCTGAACCGAACGGAGGCTGACTGGGCTTGGCCTCACAGTAGCCTCTAACCCAGCACTTATGCATAGTTTGGCCCATGGGGTAGGCACGTTTCTATTTGCAAGAGCTTAATGTAGTATTGGTTTCTGTGTTTCTGGCATGATGTGCTTCCTCCTTCAGTGGGAGGAAAGAAAAGCAGGTGGTGGTGGTGGAAGTCTTGGCCATTATTGCTGGAATTATCTCGCTTGTGATTACCAGGAGGCGAGGCCGAGGGTAGGGAAGTATGAGAAGGCAGAGAGTTGCTGCCACTCCCTACTGAAGAAGGCGCAGCTCTCTTGGTCTGTGGGTTTTCTGTGTCACCACACACCTGCTTTGTTTGAGCGTCACCAGCCAGACTGGTTGGGCAGGTCCGATGGTAGAAAGAGAGGCAGCTGTCCCGCCCTATCACTCAGAAACCGGGAGGCTCTTGTTGTGGATGTGTCTTGTCTTCAGGCTGCTGTGTTGCCCTGTCTCTCCCTAAAGACCTCTTTTGCTCATCCTCCATGGAGTCTGCTTTTGGGGCTGCCCTGGTGTTGATGCTTGTGGCCACATCGGCCGCCCAGAACGACTGCTTTTGCCCAACGAATAACCTGGCGTCTTGCAGTTCGGAGTCTGGCAGCTGCATCTGTACGGCACGCGGTTCGAACCAGAGGCTGGACTGTTCAACGCTGACTCCAAAATGTCTGCTGATGAAGGCGGAAATAAAAACCAAAAGAGGCAGAAGTTTTCCCAGGCCCGAACATGGGTTTGTGGACAACGATGGACTTTATAACCCAGAATGTGATGCCATGGGCTTCTTCAAAGCCAGGCAGTGCAATCAGACAGATACTTGTTGGTGTGTGAACAGCGCTGGGGTAAGGAGGACGGACAAGGGGGATCTCAACATGAAGTGCAATGAGCTGGTCAGAACAAGCTGGATCTACATTGAGATGAAGCACAAAGAGCGAAAAACTCCCTTGTCTGAATCAGAAGTGGCAAACAGCTTCCGACAGCTCATTGAAAACCGCTATATGCTCCATCCGAAGTTCATCACAGCTGTTGAGTACAAGGAGCCATTAATCCATATCGACCTAAAGCAGAACATTTCGGACAAGTCTTACGGAGATGTAGACATTGCAGATGTAGCTTACTACTTTGAAAAAGACATCCAGGGTAAACCCATTTTCCCACCCGATAATATGTTTGGTCTCTATGTCAATGACGAACCTCTAGATATTGAAGAAATCCTTGTATACTACGTTGATGACAAACCACCAGAGTTCTCTATGCAGCGCCTGACAGCAGGCATCATTGCAGTGGTGGTGGTGGTAGTCCTGGCCATTGTTATTGGGATAACTGTGCTCGTGGTTACCAGGAGGCGGAAGACGGGCAAGTATGAGAAGGTTGAGATTAAAGAGATGGGAGAAATGCGAAAAGGACAACATGCACAAGTGCCTTAATTTGACTGTAGAACTAAGATGACATGGGCAGAATGGAAAGAAGATGACAAGATTGCTACCATGTCTTTTGAAGGTGGGGAGGGCACTTGGTTTTCTTTTTTAAATTAATGTTTAATCAAAGATAAAAGAAACAGCTTTGTAAAACGTCCACAATTCCAGACTGGAAAATATTGGGATATAGTTAGCATTTCCCTTTAACTATAGTGTACTATGTGATAAAAATAATAATAATTTGAGATGAATATCAATGTGTTAGGGACAAAATCCCTGTACTGTACCCACTCCTGAACTTTTCCAGATCTGTAGTTTTTTAAGAAAACAATGTTCTGTAGCTACACGGTTAGTTTAATTTATTTTAACTGCATTTCTACATCTTTTTGGGGTGTGTTTATGTGTAGCTATCCCCCAATCCCCCGCCCTGTTCTCTTTGGCCCATGCTGCTAAGGTGTGTGTGTTCCGTCTGTGCATTTGAGACAGACTTTCTATTATTAAAAGTGTTGGAAAGGTTCCCTTCTTCCATTTAAACCTGATTGTTTTTTGTCTCTGATCTAAAATATTTCTTTTGTAAAATAGTAATACCTTCTGTGAACAAATGTCAGCGTTTACCATGGAACTGGTGTGTGTCTGTGTGTTTGTGTGTGTGTTTATAATGTAATCTTCATTGAAATAAATTTTCTTAACTTTAAACTGTTGCTAAGTTTCATGCTGTGATTCTATAGGATTTTTCCTCCCAGCATAGATCAGGCTGCCTGTGGTCCTTAACTATCTCCTGGTGTTTTACTGTAGGGGTAAGCTTTTTCTGTCCTTGCTGAATTCCAGCTCTGGGAAAACTACTTGCCAGTCATGTACTGGGTGGTGTGATATAATCAAATCATTGCCAGCCATTGCCATTTCTTGGAAAGTATCACCCGTTTTCATCTGGTGACAGCAGCTGCTGGTAGTAAGTGCACTGCTTGCTATCTAATCTTTGCCATCACAGTCTAGCTGGCAAGAAACCCCCGAAAACCTCTCTACTGTTTTAATAGACCTAAAATGACTCAGTACAACATGGTTGCATATGCTATACAGTATACTCCTCTTGTTAACTAACTTGTCCAGGCAAAATAGGATCTTTCATGCTGTTGTGACACTATAGATAGGTAATCTTAGCCACAAAGCCTCTCCCCCAAAGCAGTAAGTCACTACAGGCTATTAAAATTGTCATTACAAACTATGGTAGTCGTTACAGGCCACCACAATCTTTGCACCATAATCTGTAACCACTGTTGCTGAATGAACAAGCACTCCTCCATATAGCTGTGAGTCACATATAGCTGTAAGCACAATGTTCCTTCGTTGTAGAGGCTGTCAAGTCAGAGGTACCCAAGTGATCTTAGAGCTTCTTTAAGATGTTCTGCAGAAAGGTTGCAGAATAGTTGAGAACATCTGTACTTGGTCCTGCTCTTAATTTTTTCTTTTTTCTGACAACAGATATCAAGGCTATTTTGACCAGGGACAGAGTTATCAAATAAGCTAACAATGCCTCGGGCCCATGGTTTTCATAATGTGGGTGGCAATGTTGCGAATATACAGAATGCTCCTATTTCACTCCCCCAACAAGCAAGTGGGAGCAACAAACCTTGGTTTAGTGTTATGTCCAAACCAGGGATTGTGGTTTGTTTTGTTCCAAACAAACCATGACCATGATTTGAAGCCAAGGTTTGCTGTTTACTCACCAACTGCAGTTTATAAGTTTTGTTCAGAATTTTATTTTGTTGAGAATTTTGTTCAGAATTTTATTTTTGTTTTAAAATATATTCTTTTTATGCATCTCCAGATAAGATCAAATAACACCCGTGATACACGAAACAAACCACAATCCCTGGATTGGACATAACATTAAACCAAGGATTGTGGTTTGTTGCTTCTGCTGCTAGCAGGGAGGACTAAAGTAATCAATGTTCATGGTAAACTATTGGCCATGTGACTTACTATGAATTGTAAATGTAGCCAATGTAGCCAATGGCTAATGAGTAAGAAAACAAGTGCAAGTAATCATAATTGTTTCAAAAAAGCAGAAAAAATAATTGAGATTTGATGGGTTAGGAGAAGACTTTTGTTTCTGTGTGAGAGAGTAGACTAGGCCATACATAGCTACAGATGTATCAAAGTTTCTATAATTAATTAACCCCATCTAAAAGTGGATGGGCTTTGGTATTTCTGTGTATGCCGTCAAGACTCAGTTGTATACGCTGCTAAGGGATAGAGAAAGCTCAGAGGTCATAAATGGGGAGGGATACAGTATATGCCAGCAATTAATCAAAAGAACAGAAAGATTAATTGCAGCAAGACATGCAGAGAACATCTCTGGCCATATGCCATTCTAGCTGGCATAAAGACGCAGGAAGAAACTGACTTTGACAAACTCCATGTCCTTTCTGAGTCAGGTTGCATTCCTTTATTGCAATTTCAACCTTCTCACCACTCCTACTTTTCCTCCTTTACCTACCTGTGGCTGTTATTATCACATTCATTTTTAACCGAGACCTTGTGATGACTACCAGTGTTTTACCAATAATGTTCACAGAGATCTTTTAATTTCATGGGAAGTGCATGAAAGGGAACCATAGACTGTGAGCAAATTCAACTTACCCTTTCAATATGCTGAGTTGTAGACCGACTTCAATCCATACTTTAGTGAGTACTCATAGGACGAAGAAGCTATCCAATTACATCACCCACATACCCAGATCAGGTTCATTAGAGGTCTTATCACAGACCTATTCCAGTGTGCGATTAAATCAACCCGTAACTTGCTCTCTGATAAATTAATCCATAATAGGCATTGGAAAAGTCAAAGGATTTACTGAGGCAGGCATGCTGATGGATAGCTGAAAGGGCTGGCTAGAGGTGGGTTTGGGGAAAACCACTTTTATTGTATGTTTTTAGACAAAAAAACTGAAAATAACACTACAGGAGAATCCTAGAAGCTCTTTCCTCAATCTTTAGCCTTAACAACTTTTGTGTACTAGCAACTCTTGCTTTAATAGCCGGACACAGTTCACACTCCTTGAAATTGTTTATTCTTTTTCACTGAATTCTTGGTTAAAGCCTCTCTGTTCTGCTTCTACTGTAATCTGGTGTAGTCGTTTGTGTTAGTGGAAACTGCTCTTACCAGGACATCATTGGAGGTTGGTTGACTAGGGGGTATGGGGCACTGCCCTCAGCCAGCCCTCTTCACCTGCATCCCTACAGTCCAGGGGGTGACCGGAGCTGTTAGCTGCCTCTTCTTTAGCCTCAGCTTTGCCCCTGTAGAACTCAGCAGGAAGGACAAGGCGGAGAAGGGGGACAAAAGTAGAATTAGCTGACTATGACTGAGCCTTCTGTTGGCTTCCCAATTTTACATCCCACCAGTTCCAATAAGCACTAGACATCAGCAACAGAACTCCTGTGCATGACAGTTTCTAGCCTTTCATTGAGTTGGGGAGATTTACCACAACACACACACGATTCAGCTTTTGGTGTACCACCTGCCTTTTGAACAAAAATTGTCAAAAATTGAACTTGGTGGTAGGCCATGGGTTCACACAATTGGCTGATCACTGGCCAGGATGCAGTGCAGAGGGTTCTCAAATGCTTTTTCTGTGGCTACTATACATCCAGTGGGTCATGTTCTACTTCTCTGATCTATGTCATCCAAAAGCTGCTTTGTCCGTGCTTACCCAGTGGGCAACATTCACTTGCTCTACGAATGTGGACAGTCAAAACGGTTGCCTCATTAAACATGATCCAGTTGTCGCTAGAGCTGAAACCATCCAACAAAAAATATTTCACTTTAATCACCACATAGTAATAGGTTTTGCACCCAGTTTCAGTAATAAGAAAAAATAGTGATGATTGTTTTATTGAAGAATGAAAGCCTCTTTTTTTGGATTGTTTAAAGAAATATTATAGTATGAAGAACCCATGAGCAGGATTTGAACTATGAGCAAAAGGAATAATTAGAAATTATTGTATTGTGATTGTAATATAAGAGACAGAAGACAGGGTGCAGCAAGGGGCTGAAATAAAAAAGGGGAAGTTGATAAAACAAAAGAAAAAAATTATTGTGTATTGGAATTACATGTGAAATTTGTGGAAATTTAATAAACATATTCATGCTTTCTGATGAAATGGAATCTGGCCCAGGGGCTACCAGGTGGCGCGTTGGAAGATGGCCGACAGTAACATCTCTCTGACCCATACGAGGTACTAAGGGGCTACTATGGGAAGTATGTAGCCTTCCTGAACTCCTCCAGGATGTGGAGGAGAACTGCCCTGCCAGCGGTGTTCACAATGCACCCCTGAAACGAGTGATTGGGGTGCCGAACACTTGGCAAAAGGCCCTCGGTGAAGTCAGACCTTCCTGACGCCGATTCCAATTAGCGCGTGCTGGTTGCTTCAGCTGGAATTATAATTGGAAACATATGATTGGAAACGAAGCTGAAAGCACATACATCAAGTAAAGCTCGAAGATAAGACTGCTGATTAATGGATCTCTGCGACCAGGAGTGACGGATGGATAAGTAAATCTTCTGATGAATCACCATAAGGAGACTGTATGTTTGGAACGAAGGGGGGGTGGAGGAAAAAACTTTTTTTTCTTTGCATGATGTGACATTAATAACCCTTCACCCCAGATAGAAACAAGATCGTCGCATTTCTATGAATCACAGGCAGAATTTTAAGAACTATGTGGGACGGAAAGAAGACTGCAGAACGGTGAGAAAGGAAGAAATTTTTTATGACGCAGTTAAAAAATGGCGTCTCGCCATGACAGGTTTACCGAGGAAGAAGGACTGGGGGAGGAGAATCAGGATTGTTTGAAAGAGAAGGAATGTTGGAATGTAAGTTTGACCTGACAGAACCCCCAAACTCATTTGTTATTTGGTAAGCCTGAGAAAAATAAAGGACAGATCGGAGATTAACTTTGTTTATGGAACCGTTGTACAGAGGCTGTCCCGGATCGATATGATTTTTGGAAAATTACAAAATCCACATAGAATGCCAGCTGTTATCCTGCTTGTGAAAATCATCAGAGATTGCAAAGAAAGGAATTTATGATAACAACAAGAAGAGAAAAGAAGTAACAAAGGACTTTCCGGATCAAACTGGAGAGAACTGTCTAATTAATGCAGTAAGATAAGTGATGCTGTTTTGGACTCGAGCTGAGCTTGATGTATGGGTACCCCCAACAAAATTTAAAATTTGGCTGTATAATTTGGAATCAATGTGATAATGTGATGTGATTGGCCTGTTAATAAAAATTATTTTTTAAAAAAAGAAATGGAATCTGGCCCACAGAAGTTTGGGTGACAATAAATTTAATAGTTGTTGAGGTGTAAGAAAACTCTGTTGTTTTAGCAGCGCAATCATACTGTATATAATGTAAAGTGATCTCACCACACTGGAAATGGTTTTCTTGTCCTTTGACATGCTTAGGAAATATATAGATATATCTAATCACAAGTGCTTTACAAAAAAGCTAGGTACATGACAGTTCGAACAGTTTAAGTAATTAAATAATCGTGATAAAATACTGATAAACACTACATAATTTATATCTTAGGGTTTTAACCACTTCTTCAGAGAATGGGTTGTAATATTAACAAATTGCCCCCTCAATTCCCTGTTCCTTAATTGGGATGGTTAATACTATTACAGCAATAATCTTTCCCATGCAGGTACAATTACCCTTTTCAAAGCCTTCCCATTGATCTGTTTCAGGGTTTTGATAAATTTCTAAGTGCCGCAATTACTTCATTTTAATGCTGAAATTAATCTTGAGATGTTACAATTGCCTATCAGAGCAGGAAGACTTGACTTTCCCAGGTTTTATATATATTTATATATATTGTTTGGCAGCCAGAGCACTGTTCCTTATGCCACAGTTTTGCCTCGTTAAAATTTTGCACACGCTGAATAAGCTGACAAGATCCTCATTTTATTTTCATGAAGGTCTTTGCTCCCTGAGGGACAATACACTTAGAATCCTACTCCAGTACACTTCACTACCTAGGAAACAATTATGGGGAGACACATGGTTGTTATCTAAATGAGAGGCAGAATGAGAATGGATTTGTAATCCTCCTCTGAGGTTTTAGAGATGGACCCCAAAAGAACCGGTGACATTTGCTCCCATTATTTCTCAGGCAATTTTTATTTGGAATAAACGTCTGTCCCCACTAGACTTGTATGTGTGTGTGTGTAAAAAAAATAAATGTCTTTTTTCTCACCAGAGGAAATATGCTGAACAACAGACTAATAATTGGATCTTTCTAGTAAATGGCCTTTTTGAATGGGGTCTCCAGTGCACAAAGGGTGGGGGGAGGGGAATCCTAGTTCTAATTCTCTCTCCAACCTCTGTCATTCCCTGAATATTTACACAGATACAGTACAGTTTCTTTGTACAATAATGTTAAAATCTGTTAATTCTTTCTGGGGACTATTGAACAATATCTGCAAGCATAAAAAGGTAGAGAAAAAAAACAGTAAGTTTTCACCTGTAATCTTTTAGTAAGCTATCACACTGAGGGACCTGGCAGCCAGGAAAAGTTTGTATTTTAGGTGTATTGTATAAACAGCACTCCTTGGAGGTAAGGTAAATTCCATTTGGGCTTGCATTACAAAAGCCATGTATCTGTCATACAAAGGGACTGCAATTATTTTAGCAACATTTTATTCAGCCATTTCAGGGTTTTTCACACATACTCTCCAAATCCGCATTTTGACATCCATAATCCTATGAAATTTTAATTTTGGAATTGCTACGCATTTCAGCAAAATACAATTTCAGCTCCTCCTGCTTTTTTCTGCCTTTTCTAGACACGGTGTTTGGTAGGCAAAGCAGGCCTCCTGTTAATGAAATGCAGATGGTGTTTTTCTATTTTCTTTTCTCTTTATCTCAGTAGCAAAATGCTCGAAGCATATTTTAAAGGGCTGCTATATTCCTGGATATACCTCAGAGCTTGCCCTTGGTAAAACCCGTAGCAGCCAAGGTCTATGTACAGTATAAGGTGTCGGGTTTTTTGTATAGAAAATAATGTTAGTTCAATTGTCCAAAGGTTGACCTAAGGCCAGAGTCTCTTGGGAACTTTATTTTAAAAAGCTCTTTTTGATCCTTTCCTCAAAATAAAAGGTGCTATGTCTTCATTAAAATTCACGAACAGCCACAGCCTTTAATAACTACTTATGTCTGTAGATCTAGCTGCCTATTTAAAGAAAACCAGCACTTACACATTTCTAATTGTATGACTATACATGTTACATTTCTATATTAAGAGGTATTCACTGTTGGATTTCAATGAAGCTATCCTGTAATTACTCATGCTACATTTGGTGACGACTTCAGAATATTAATATGTAGGATTGCCAGTCAGGGGTGTTTTAGAAAAGCAGGGTGCATAATGTGAATTTAGTACCATAACATAAGCTTCATACACCCACAATTGACAGAGTATCTGTGCAGCAGCCACATTTGGATGGCAAGCTAAACCATAGTTTAGTGTGACAAGAATGAGTCGCAGCAAGCTGAGCCTCTGGCATGTTTGAAATGGCATGTCAGAACCTTTCACTCTTCCATTAACTACAGTTTAGTGTGTTTCCCTAAACCAAATTGTTGTTCATTTTAACTGTGGTTGTTTAAACAAGCCAACTTCATAGCTCATGGTTTTAAGGTGCCTTGTTTCAAACAAACCATTATTAACAGCAATCACAGTTGTTTGTTGTTTCTCACAATATGAGAAGCTGGAGCTAAGCCCAAATGGATGTGAATTCCTCGTAGCCAGGCTGGAAGAGGGGCAAGCCTGAGGCTCACTGTGGCTCGTTCTGGTTTAGCAATTTCCAAAGAAGGATTATGTATCAATACAGTGGTACCTCGCAAGACGAATGCCTAGCAAGACGAAAAACTCGCAAGATGAAAGAGTTTTTCGTTTTTTGAGTTGCTTCGCAAGACGAATTTCCCTATGGGCTTGCTTCGCAAGACGAAAAACGAAAACGTCTTGCAAGTTTTGATTGCAATGATTTTCAATGCATTCCTATGGGAAACTGTGCTTCGCAAGATGAAAAATTTGCAAGACGAAAAAACTAGCAGAACGAATTAATTTCGTCTTGCGAGGCACCACTGTATCTGCAACTGCCAGGTGATTATGCCAAACTGTCTTTGCTGCCATTTTGAATCTGGGTCTGCCCCATTTTAAGAACATAGGAAGTGCCTGCTTGATCAGGCCGATGGCTCATCTAGTCCAGCTTCCTGTTCTCACAGTGGCCAACTATGGGAAAGCCTTAAAGGACATGAGAACAAGAAGTCTCTCAGGGTGGGTGTCATACGTCCTGTGAAGACATCTTGGCAGGGCTGGTCCAAGGGGGATGACGAATGGGAAGAGTGCCTGGCGTTGGGGAGGGGCCAAGTGGTTTGCTGGGAGAAAGCACCACCCCAGTGGCATTGGATGTTCCAGCTGTGGGAGAGACATCTAATCCAGTCTCCACCCTGCCGTGAAGCTTTTCCCACCTCAAGGAAGGTTTCTGAGCCTAAGTCGGACCATGAGATGGATGCACTGCTCCATCTCTAAGGACATTCCATTGGCCATGATAGCACCAGCAGAGCCAGCCTACTTGCAGGAGCGCCTGCTTGCCTGCCCAGTCTTTGGTAAGAGAACAACACAAATGACCGCACCTGCCCTGCTCTTCAAAAGGTGGGTCAAGCATGTGTGTCAAGTGTTGAGACATCTTAGCCATTCGTCTTAGAGAACTTTTGAACTCCTGACCTGTGTACCTGTAACCTGACCTATTTTTAGACCCTGCAGAGAATTTTGGAATAAAGCCTTTGGCAATAAAGTTGAAAGTTCAAGTACTGTGTCTATGAGTGGGAGCCAAAACAGTGGGTCTCAGTAATTTTCAGTTGTCTCTGGTGAGAACTCTGGTATCTGAACCAGGCCAGTCTGCAAATGTGAAGGTGTGGACTGTAATCCTAGGTGCATTTGAAAGCACATTTAAAAAAATGGCTTCCCCTAAAGAAACCTGGGAGCTGTCATTTAACCCCTGCAGCTACAATTTCCCAGCACCCTGAACAAATGAGAGTTCCCATAATTCTTTGGGAGAAGCAATAGGCTTTAATATATGGTGTGGAGGCGAGCCTATACTTGTTTGCCCTGGAGTATGCCCATTGAGTTCAGTGGAACTTTTCCCCAGAAAGGAGCGTATAAGATTCAGCCTGAGTAGCGGGTGCTAAATGAACCAGGGAGTTTTAGTGTCAGGACTGGCAGCTTGACAGCTGCAGCTAATATTTTATTGCAAGCCTCATAATTTTATGCCACAATTATTTTTGAAGAAACAGCTCCCAGAGCTACTTATTTCAGGTTCATGGGCAATATCTCCTTTCTTGTTTGCAAATGTCATCTTCAAAAGCAATGCATAAATATATCTCTAAATATTCAAAATCTCAGTTCCAAATCTGTAGAGTAAACCTGTTCCTTACTGCTCTATAAATATTTCACAGTGGTTTAACATTCTTATTATTTTATGAATACTTAATGAAAGATAAGCATTTTTTTGAAAATAGAGGAGCTAATGACTTGTAAGGTTATGCCATCCGTCTGGCTGAAGGGCTGACAGGATGCAAACATGACTTGACAATGGAGATAGTGTTGTTTGCTGTTTCCAAGATTCCCTAGAATAACTATCACGGCTTCATATTTCTGAATAAGGCACAGGAGAATGCAACCCACCACCTTCCTTTTAAGGTGATTTGAGGGCTCTAGTTCAGTTCCCCAAATAGCCCCCCCTTCCTCCCAAAAGGAACAAATGGAATAAATTCTCACAAAATAAGTCTTGTGGTTTATTATCACAAAAGCTTTCATGGGCTACAAAAAGTACTTGTGAGTCTGTTCAGCTGCACAATCATCAGCAAACCACAAAGGAAAAGCATTTTCCCAACCCTGATAAACAAAAAGAAAACACCACGAGCATGTGTAGTTTCACATTTTAAACTCACTTAACTTGTCCTTGTTTTTGCTCACTTCCTACCTTAGGCTGTTCACCAACTCTCAGCCTAACCTACGTCATAATGGCTGTTGTGAAGATACAGAAGAAGGTGTAATACAGCTGCAAAAGGGAATTTAGTGCTTGCATCATTTATTTTGTTTACATATTTATAAACCATACTTTCCTATGAAAGATCACAAGGTGGCGTTTTGAGTTTGCTCCCAGGTTGGTGGGGGACTGTGGAGAGCAGAGGGAACTGCTTTCATGAGTCGCTTTGGGCAGGGGTTGGCTGCGCTGCCAAGTTCTCCATGGGGAACTTATTAGCACAGCTGAACCCGACAGAATCACTCTCATTGCCAGTGACAAGCCGCCTCCCTTGCTGGGGCACTTTAAGGCTCCTGATTGTGCAAAGGCAGCTGTGTTTCTACCAGCCCCCCTCTTCATGTTGCAGGTGTGGGGCAGGTGGGCACGGTTTTGGGAAAATGGCTTTGTGCCCCAAACTGGAACCCATGCCGAGCCAAATTAGTCCTGCAGGTCAGAGGTTTCCCACCCCTGAGCTGAGTGAGCCTAGTGCATCTCTGCTTTCCAGCCCCTCAAAACTTTTCGCAGCTCACTGCTTGGTTCCTTTAATGCCGCCTTAGCTCACAAGTAAACTCTGGTTCTGTACTGGATGACAGGTCAAGGGCAATAAAGTATAACTGATGTGCTCCTCCTAGGCTCTAATTACAGTATGCTCTGGATCCTGCAGCCACCAAAAAGTACCCTCTTCACACAACAGTCCATTATGGCATAACCTGGCCAACCACTTGTTTGTCTTCCCCTAATTTTGAAATCCAGGTGTCCAGAAGGAGAAAAATCTCTGTCTTCCCTTGCAACAGGAAATGCTGTTGATGAGCCACCTTTTAAAGGTTTCTTCCATTTGATTTCTCCAGTACCCCTGGGCTATGGGAAAGCCACCACAAGTGGACATTTATTTCCCAGTGTTACCTAGTTGCATGTAAATGCACTTGCAATACGTGTGTGCCCATTTGAGGGTAGTGTAAGTGCCCCAAGACACTTCTGAACCATCCATCGCTGGTGTACTAATGGAAGTAGTGGCAGATCCGCATCTGGCAAGGATGGGCGTAGCCAGGACTTTTGCTGGGGGAGGGGGGCGAAAAACCGAAGTAATTGGTCAGTTAGTTAAGTATTTCTATTGTTTTATTTGATCTGGGGGGCATAGCTGCACCCCCTTGGCTACGCCCATGCTGACAAGCACATTTAAAAACCTGGTTCTACACATGCCACCGAATATGGCAAATTTTGTGCATTGCAGGGGGTTGGACTGGATGACCCTCGGGATCCCTTCGTTACGATTCTATGCATTCCATCACTCCGGACTGCCGGTAGGTAGGTGCAGAATCACATCTCTGAATCTCCTCCACGCTCAACTCGCTGACAGTGAACACAGCGGCTGGAGGCGGCCTTCCCTCGGTCGCGAAACAGGGAAACTCCGCCACCGATTGGCTCCCTCCCCAGCCCGGAAGGAAAGGCAAGCGGCCGCCCCAGCCGTAGAGCGCAGGGGGAAGAGGCCTGGTGCACGGGGAGGGCGAAGGGCGCGCCTCTCCGCGGCCAAAGGGTCCTAGAGGTCGCCATTGCGTCTTTACGCGCGGCGCCCCTTCTTCTCTCCAAGGGTCGGGCGGGCGGCGAGTAAGGGGAAAGCGCTGGTATCTCAAGCCCCCCCCCCTCCATTATGTCTTCACTTGCTGGAGGGATCGCCAGCCAACGGAGCAGGGGATCTTGCTCCTCCCCTCCTCGTCTCTGACTTGAGCTTTTGGCAACCTCGCCTGCTCTTCCTGGAACCAGTTTGTTCTGTCGCGGCTGGTAGGTGACGGGAGTGGCCATGGCGGGGGAAAGGCAACCAGCCTTGTGGACGCACAGCTCCCGCTCCTCTGCAGGCGCTCGTTATAAGGAGGCGCCCCGCTTGCTCTCTATTGGCTCCGGTTTCCCTGCTTCTGCGTCTTCTTCGGAAGGCGTTTCCCCTTCCTGCCCTCGCAGCGTCTCCTGTTGACGTTGGCCAAAGACGCTCAGGTGGCGCAGGGAGGCGGCGGGTCGGTTCCCCCGCGGCTCTTCTGCGCCAAGGGAAACCTGGGTTCTCTCGCATGGCTTGAGGCGCAGGAGAGAGGGTGTGCGTGTACGTTGCATCGTCTCTCTGGTCCCTCAGGCCTTCACTTTGTGACTGCTTCTGTGGGACAAAGCCACCCAAGTCACAAGGCGAACCCCCTGACATGTACTCATATAGCAGATAATATGGTTTAGGATTCCCACCTAATCCAGCCGTTCATTGCTGGTTTTAATTAGCAATGGAAATTTGACTTGAAATTTAAGTGAGAAATGTCTGTTCTATGAGGGAAAGAAGAATGGCTCTACTTCCGGGAAAGAACACCTGCCTGCTCCTCATTTTGCTTGCCCCGGTGCCCCTTTTTTGACATTTGGATAGTCAGCCTTAGTTAAAGCCTCACCTATTTCGTTGTGTCATTCTCTCCATGCAATTGTCTCTGGGTTTGAATATGACGACCAGATCTTCCCTCACAGGGAGTTGGCTCCTGATATTGAAGGTAGTACATGAACTTTCATGAGGGTGTTTTCCATGGGACACAAGTGCATTGTTAATGAATCTGTCCTGGACAGGATAGTGCCCAAGCTTTTGACTTCTCAGGCTAGATTAACCTGGTGCCCTGTAGATTTGGACTGTAACTCCCATCAGTCCCAGCTACCACAGCTGTGCTGGCAGTGTTGCGGATGGGAATTGTAGTCCAGAACTTATGGAGGGCACCAGGTTGGAGGAGGCTGGGCTAGATGGTAAACAAAGCAGGGGGTTAGCTGCTAGTATACTACTTCGTGCTTATAAAGCACTTCAGAGAGCTCGGGGCATTTTACTTGGAATCTCTCAATAATCCTTACAACAACTCTGCCAGGTAGATCAATATTACTATCTCCATCTTGCAGGTGGAGAATAGGGGGTGAAGATGAGAGATTGTGGCTTGCATAAAGACACCTAGTGATTTAGTGATGGAGGTGATGTTTGGAAACTTTGAAAGGGAAGCCAAATCGGAGAGTTAAGGGAAGGGGTTGACTGTTGGCCTGAGGGAAGGAGTTTGCTGCTGACACTGAACAGAGAACAAGGTAAAAAGGGTGGACAGAGGGCCATGGGCTACGGATGCCAAGGAAGCTATGTGTGTGCTGAATTTCATGTGGTGGGTTGTATTCAACTATCTTTTATTCAGAGTAGGCGTCTTTAAATTAATGGCTGCAATTAACTTAGGTCCAGCAATTTAAGTGAGTACAAGTTAATTACACTGAGTAAACGGTAGTTGACGGCAACCCAGTGATTTGAACTAATCAACCAGAGAAATGGTCAGCTAAAGATCAGAAGTGGGACCTGCATTTACTGCAGTGGGATATTACACCCAAATCAACTTTTTCAACTCTGCAATCACTTCACTGTATCTCAAATTTTGGTTGGAAACCAAGGTGTCACATATGGAAAATAAGTGCCAGTGGCTGTGGTCAGGATTCTTACATTGGTTCCAACCCTTGATGTTCTTATAGGGACCACATATTCTCTCCCACTCTATGTGTAAATGGGGTTTACATGCAATTCATGCAAGTTTAAAAAATGGGGTGGATGTATTATATAAGTCCTACTCATACAGGTGTGTCCTGTTGGGAGAAAAGAGTGCAAGGCTCACTCCCACACATTGTCGTGTACTAACTGCTTACCTGAACAATGGGTGATGTAGCTCATGGATGTAAAGATTCTGTGTGACCCATTGGCTTGGTTTGGACTATTTTTCTGGGTTTCCCAAAATGTGGTTCGGCCCAAAGTGGGGGAAGTCTGTCTTAATAGTTTGTGAACTTGGGAACTAGCAATGGGATAGGGGGAACTGTACTTGTTTTGACCCTCTTTTCCTCTTCAGTGTGGATTTTTTTTCATGTTTAATAGTGTGTCTGTTCAGCACTTCATTTCTGGCTTTTACTAAGCCTGAGTTCCCTATTATATCTGGAGAATTTTGGCTTACTGTCAGATATTATCCTGGTTGCTAACTAACTGACAGATTTACACAGTTTTGGACCCACAACTCTGGCTTTTTGTAAATCAGAAATGAAGCAGAACAGTGGAAAGGGTTTAGGTATTTGGCCCTGGCTCATGCTCCTAATTTAATAAACCATAGTTTTTGAAACCTGGAACAATTATCTGAACTAGGCCATTGTCCCCAGCAACAGCTCCCAGCACTTTGGGAGAACAATGCTGAGGTTTTCCCAGTACCCAGTACTGAGTTCTAGTGAATACACACCCTTAAAGAGCATAGTGTCTCATAGCGTTATCATTTGCTATTGCATCATTTAAAAATATATACTCTTGATTTACATTTCTAGGTGTAACACGTGAGAGAGAGAGATGGCTGCTCTTAGTGGCTCAAGAAACTGTCTTTTAACTAGATTTACATCTTTGGCCTGTTGGGGAAAGTGCATTAATCCTTACAAGTTTTCCAGTGAAGCATTGAACAGACACCAGCATCAAGTGACTAAGTGCCAATCATGGAACAAAAGTAAAAACAGAAGGTGCTACTTAATGACTGAAAGTTCCAACACCTACAGTAACCTCATTAACAAAAGTCAAATGCGGCTTTTGAACCCTAAGAATGCAGGAATTTTCAACGTTGCACACAGCTGTTTGAGGAGGCCTTGTATTCTCTCTGAGCAAAGGGCAAGAGGACTTGCTTTTCAAAAATCTCGGCACTTGACTGGTTCTCAGAATGTCCAGTTTCACAGGCCTTTTCACAGATCTTCAGCACTGAAGGCGGCTCCCGTTCCAATCTTGTGGATTCTATTGAAGCCAGTTCAGAAACTATTTGCTGTCATCCTTGGGAGGTAAACATTAATATTGCTCTGCTACACACTATAGCAGTATAGAGTATACTACATTGTTGCAATGTAAATTTAGATGCAAGCTTAATAGGATACTTTGCAAACTTCACATGAGACTGTCTGGCATGCTCCTAATGTTGGAAAGGAGCCTTGCAAATACAGTGGTACCTCAGGTTAAGTACTTAATTCATTCTGGAGGTCCGTACTTAACCTGAAACTGTTCTTAACCTGAAGCACCACTTTAGCTAATGGGGCCTGCTGCTGGAGCCCGATTTCTGTTTTCATCCTGAAGCAAAGTTCTTAACCTGAAGCACTATTTCTGGGTTAGCGGAGTCTGTAACTTGAAGCGTATGTAACCTGAAGCGTATGTAACCTGAGGTACCACTGTAGATGGTGAAAGCTCACTTTTTGTGAGAATGACTGCTGATTTTGTGTCTCTGCTCCCCTCCTCCTCTCACCTGTTTTAACGCCTGGTGAGGTAGCTTGGAAGAACATGTGTAACTTGGATAAAAATGGGTAAAGTACATTTCTATGCTGTTTCCCAAACTCTTCCCCCAAATACGTGAATATTCTACCTCTATCCTCCAGCAAAGGACGCTAGAATAGCATTGTGGTACTTTCTGGTCCCTTGTCCGCCCTCCCAGTACTGAGGGATAATGTCTCCTGGCTCTAGGCACTAGGTTGATAGTACAGTACCACTTTTGATTCTTGTAAAGAGGATGGGGCAGGGGCTGTAGGAAGGAGAGAGTGAGTATTGTCCATTCTCGGCCTGGAACCATGATAAATCGCACCTCTGTTTCTGTGCTTTCCCATGAAAGCAGCCCCTGCTTTGGGGATATGTTTTGGTTTTTATTGATTTTCATTTACCTTAGCCAAGTTTTAATTACTTGAAAGGCCAACTGCTTCCTTGATTTGAAATCTGCGAAGCTCTGAAACACCTCTGAAATGGAGTATGCAACTCTGTTCATCACTTTGGTGGGCAGGTGGGAATGAAGCAGAAGAAATAAACATGCTTTAAATATGCTTAGTTTGAAATGGCATCAACTTGGTGGCTTAGGAGCAGAGTGTTCTTCCTGTGCTTTTAGTTCTATACTGTCTGAGCAGTGCCTTTTTCTCCTAAATGCCACCAGCAGTTAGGCACTTTATTATCCTTTAAAAACATTTCCTCTTTATAATAAAATAAAATTTAGAATGTTTTTAACTGTGTTGCCAAGACACACCTTGTTGTGTAATTTCCACCAAGGAAGTAGTTGCGTCTCTCAAGTTTTTAACAGTGACTCAGCGCAGTGAGTTTCGTTCCTAGCTTGCAGACCAATCGGTTAACGAAATTTGGATCTTGGTAATGCACTTCTAATATTAGGAGCACATCCTCATCTCTAGTCACCTTTTAAAAGGTAATTTGGCTACTAATCTCCAATCTAGATATCATGTGCACATCAGAGGGCTGCTGCAGCACTGTCCCCATGCATGTACTATCCTGCTGAGGAAGCCACACCTTTGCAAACTTCCTGGGAAAGGAGTGGAAGGTTCTCAGAATCTGGGGCACTGCATATATAGGCCTGCGTCGCACTTGGATTTATGAGCGGTGGTAAGGGCATGTGTCTGATGCTTCACCTTGTAAGCTGTTTTTCTGGATTGGAGGTTGAGTAATTTGGGCTTAAGAATAGGTCAGTCACAAAGCATGCATCTAGTTTTCTAGTACAGTGGTACCTCTGGTTACGAACTTAATTGGTTCTTAACCTGAGGTACCACTTTAGCTAATGGGGCCTCCCGCTGCTGCCGCGCTGCCAATGCGCGATTTCTATTCTCATCCTGGGGCAAAGTTCTTAACCCAAGGTACTACTTCCGGGTTAGCGGAGTCTGTAACCTGAAGTGTTTGTAACCCGAGGTGTTTGTAACGCGATGTACCACTGTATATATATAGTTCGTGATCCAGAAAGTTGAGGCTTGCGGTAGTGCAGTAGAATTTTTGACTTTGAAGAGCTGACTCCTTTACTTCCCCATGCCACGTAACAAATCGCTTTTGAAAATTATCCTCAGTTTTGGAAGTCCTCAGGTTTGCCTTGAGGCATAGAGGGAGGACTTCTGTTTGAGGAAAACAAGTATAAAATCCCTCTTGGAGCTGCTTTTACAGTGCTCTGGATTCTGGCCATAAACTTTACATATTCACTGCGCAGGCCAAAACAGCAAATGATGCTCCACTTGTGCTTTTGCAATATGGATGTTCTGTTGCTGCTCAAGGAACCATCTATTAAATTTAAATTGTATATACAAGTTGGACCCTGTGGAAAACCATCGTGGTATATGTGGTAAATCCCATCCCTTATTAAACCTTTTCTTTGTTATTAAATGAACACATTTTTCTTACTGTAAATAAGGTGTCTCAGTGTTATGAAACTTGGTTCGTATTCTTATTATTCTCCAGAGCAGAATGTTGTTTTTTAAAATAGAATATAATAGTTAATGTTTTCTCAGCCTTTAAATATGCATTAGATTTTTGTTTTGGCTTTCCTTTTCCATTCTCAAAGGCTTCATTGTAGCCAGATTTTAGATCTGTAGAAATTAACTTTAAAAAAAAAGTTTAGAAGGAGAATAGCATTAGATTATTTAAACTGCTGTTTGGTTCCTCAAATTTCAATTGAGCTATCTCCCACTTTTCTTTTGTATACAGTGCAACCTCAGGTTATGTACCGTCCTGCTTACGAACGCTTCAGGTAATGAGCTCTGCTAACCCGGAAGTAGGGGCTCCTGGTAGCGAACTTTGCCCTGGGATGCGAATGGAAGTCGCGTGGTGGCGGCATGGCGCAAGCGGGAGGCCCCATTAGCAAAAGTGTGCCTCAGGTTAAGAACGGTTTCTGGTTAAGAACGGACCTCCGGAACAAATTAAGTTAGTAACTGGAGGTACGACTGTAATATCTTGCCTGGCATTATATTACCTCACTTTTGCTTCCTCTTCATTTGAAATGGAAGTTCTTTCTGTACAAACATGTGCATGCTACGTAGGTACTGCCCCATCTCTCCCTATTCATTTATTTGTTCTTGAAATCCATCTTCTTTTTAAACTCACCTTCTCAGCCTATGACTCGCCTTAACCTGGACACCTTAAAAGCTGCCTGATCCACCTATGGGTTTAATATGTACAGAAGCAAGACTTTATGTAGATCCCTAGCTTTGTGGGCAACTGTATGCATAAATGGGTCCTGGGTTCCTGTCCAGCTGTGGATATGTGCACATAACCTTTTAATTACCAAATATGATGCTGCCCATTTATTTGATGAGAGTGATGGTGGTTCCACACTCTCTGTTTGCCATATCTTCCTCCTGTTCACTTCCCATTCAGCTTTCCTTCTTCCCTACACCAGCTCTCTCCCTCACCCCTCCTTGTTGTGCTTATGCACAGCCCTCAGCTGCCTTTCCTCATCTCTCAGACTCCTCATAACGCACAGCTAACCAATCTCCTTTGTTTGGGAGGCCCCACACTCTCTAGGTGTCAGAGACCAAGCTGAGGAGTACTGCTCTGGTGAGGAGTGGTGGGACCCTGCCCCTGCTCCTGGTCAGGATCCTGAAGCTGCCCTGGAGCAGTAAAGATTTGGAACAGTGGTTTGCAGAGGGGCATAGTTCTGACGACAAAAGTTGGGAAGAACTGGGGGGTGAACAGCAAAGCTCTCTCACTGGAAACTATTCAGCATCTCAGTCCAAGGTCACGTAGAGCAGATAAGATGGCTACACGAAAAGCATGGTGGTTGCAAGATGGAAGTGAGTGGGGGGAAGCCTTAATTGGGAACACCTTCCATTCTGATAATGAATGCTTTGTTCTTTTGCTGTGATCATTAAAGACTCTTTAAATGGTAAGGGACTCTTTGCTTTGTCCTGCTTATCTACGGGCAAAGGGGGGGAGGAAGCCAAGTCCCCGGAGCCTGGCACCGGGTTAACCAGAAAACCTCCCTAATTCTCCATTTCTCTCATGTGTACAAGAATGTGCAGCATATCCGTTTTACTCTTGTAGAGTGAGGTATCAAAGTGAACATTGTTGCAGCCTCATAGCTTGTTGTATCAGTGTCACATTAAACCATAGCTAAAGACAACTAACAATGTTAACTATGGTTTAATGTGAGCACTCCGCATGTTAGTATATGCCACTGAAAAGGTTTTGCTCTGCTCTTTTTCTGTTTCTGCTGCTGCTAAGCTTACAGGAAAGAGAGCCTGGCTTGTTGTTATGTCCAAACCCAGGCCTATGGTTTCTTTCTTTCCAAATAAACCATGTGGCAATCAAGGTTTGTTCTTGGCCTACCACTTGTGGTTGACACACCATGAGCCTCAGGTTGGGCACTCAAAACAAGCCAGACCATGGTTTGTTTCCTGGTGGCACAGCAGGCGAAAGAACTTTGGGGCATCATGCACTAGCACACTATTTGTTTGCATTAAGCAGAGAAGCTTGCCTTTAACTCAACCAATTAACTGAATGTGATGCTAGCCTCTTCGGAATGCATCCTGTGGCTTCAGCATGGCAAGTATGGTTTTTAAAACTGGTGATTTTGTACTCTCCTGTTCTACACGCAGGGTGCTGGTAGCATGGCTATACATGCAAGCCTGCCAGGTAGGAAGAACACATTCACTTCTGCTGTTAAGTTTTGACATTTATAACACATGCTGGTAGCACTGATGAGGGTGCAGCAGTCGGGGACACTTGCGATTCGCTCTGGCTTCCTCGAACTTTGCTATATTTGTGCCTTACAGGAGCATAAGAAAATGGTGGAGGGCACTTCCTCCAAACAAGAAGGAGCTGTTTAAAGAAGCTGCAAGAAGAAATAAATGGAAGATAGCCCTGGGCCTGTGTACTTTAGGACTTGTGTTTATCCTGTTTTATTTTACTCACTTGGAAGAGACACCAATCACTGGACGTTCTCGGCTTCTGGTGTTTCGGAAAGACCATTTTGCTGAATTGTCCCAGATGGAGTATGCCATGGTGGGTAGCTGTTCAAAAAAGCAAACAATAATAATAATAATTCCCCTGCCCCACTTCTCAGTAACTGAGATGACTCACAGTAACAGTTCAGGGTCTCCAGCTCTACTACTTGAGACCCTTATTAATGCACAATGCTGGTGATTGAAGATGGGAACTTATATATAGCATATATCCTGTTTTCTGGCCTTCCCACATAGCTGAGGGAATTTTTCTTCCATTTAAGGAGTGTTGGCAGTGCAAGGATTGAGAATATCTGTTTTACTGCTTATTACATGAGGAAGATGAATATTGCTTGTTAGTAAATAATATATGTATATATATATATAATTGCTGATGTATTCCATGTCATTAGGTCACCTTTCCTGAGTTAAATATTTTGCTTGAGCACATCTTTAAATTTTATTCCCTAAATGGATATCGTACAGCAGGGCATGTCATTTTAGGGGGTGAAATTTAATTTTTGCAAATTTCTTCCATGAGGGGGTCTTAAAAATATGTTTTGGGTGCGAGGGATTCAAATCTGCTGTTATATTTGCAATTGGACAACATTTAGCTTGCTAAGACTACGTTTACTTAAGAAGCAAATAAACTGCTTTTGGAAAGCCAAAGAATTTTAATTTTGCCTTCTGAAAGTGTCAGGTAAAATCATAAATATACATAATATAAGTAAACAAGAATAATATTAAAATATAAGTACTTGGCAGTCATTTTAAAATTATTTCTATGCAATTTTACACACATTTTATTTACCAAACAAAATTAGATTAATGTAACCAAAATATCTTTTGAATTCGCAAGTCATTCTACAACTTTTTAGCACCCTTCATTTTGGGAATTTGGGAGTTGAAAAATTCACCATACCCTAATAGTATGGTGTATGTCTCCTCCCTGCTCTGAATTAGATTGCGTCATATGTTTTTTTTACTTATACTGACCTCTCTTCCATGGATATTCATGCATATTGTATCTCTTAATTGCAATTTTACTTGCCTTGAATCGGTCAGTATGCTGCATCTTCTTTTTCTTCCAGTGGGTCGAAGAATTTAAAAGCAGAATGTTGCCTGAAACAGACCCCCGTTACCAGGAGGTCAAAAAAGTCTTTTTGCATTTGGTTGACAGCAACAAGGATTTTCCAGGACTCTCTGATTTCAAGTGGACTATCCATGTGGTGGAGGGACCAGATGTTAATGCTGTTGTGCTTCCAGTAAGTAAAAATCGAACACCAAGAGATGTAATAATTCAGAAAGAAGCTACTGACAGCGCAGTCCTGTTGTCCTTGGGAGGACGTCTCAGAGGCCGAAGGATTTTGTGCATCTCCCTCTTGGCGGTGAGGGGGCGGGGTCTTAGCTGAGAGGCAGAGCATCTTCCTTGCTCTTCCAGATTCAGTCCCTGGCTTCTGCACGCGGGTCTTGGAATGTCACCAAATCTGAATCCCTCAGGAGCCTCTGCCAGTCAGTGCAGACAGTACTGGGCCTGACTTGGTACCGCTGTCCTTCCTCTGCCCTTATTGCTTTCACAGTAGAGAGGGCAAAAAGGTGTTGGGGAGAAGAGGAGCTTCTGGGATCCAGCCTCCCCCAATACACGGGTTGAGAGAAAACATGTCCTGAAGTTTGCGTGCTGATTTTCTCTCCTTTTCTGACCAATGTGCAGGAAAGTCTCCCTTCCTCACCTCGCCCCCCAAAAGAAGTGTGCTGACGAAAAGGAGGAATAAAGAAGAAACACAACTTCTCTTTTCCCCTCTATTCTGTCTCCCACCCCCACCCCCCATTTTTCTGCTCTGCTGGTGCTGGCCTGACCAAGCTGTGGGTTCACCCCCACCCCCACTTTGGATTGCTCTGTGAAACAATTTGTTTGCAGTGTTATTTTTCCTTTCTTTGCCTGCAGAATGGACAACTGTTTGTTTTCACTGGTATGCTGTCTGCTGTGTCAGATATCAATGAGCTGTCTTTCATTTTGGGACATGAACTTGCCCATGCTGTTCTGGGACACGGGGTATGTATCCTGTTTTAAATACTGACATTGCCAAAGCCCTCTGAAACTAAACACATGCTTGTAGTCATAGGTGACCAATGTGGAGACCACCATATTTGACTGGAATTATTCAGCGATGCTCACAGCCTGCCTCTTAGGGCTAGTAATCTTTGCTCCAAACTCCTCATCTGTGGTGTTAATTGAACTGACATAGTCAGAAGTTAGGGGTGTGTCATACAACTGAATAATTCTTTATAGGCCTTCCTTACCCAGGGTTGGTGCTTTCCAGAATCCAGTGTTTCTTCTGTCAACATTGTGGTTTCACACAGTGTTTCTCCAAGTTGGATCTCCACCTGTTGTTGGACTACAACTCCCATAATCCTTAGCTAGCAGGATGTGATGGGAGTTGTAGTCCAACATCAGCTGGTAAACCAAGTTGGAGAAGTAACAGCAACTTCACGTTTTGTAAAAGGGGTCGGTAGACAGCGCATCGTTTTGAATACAGAAAACCTTAAATATCCATGCGCAAGATTAGGACATAAGTAGGTGGTTTTAAAATACCGTTTTCCTTGTTTTAAGGCAGAGAAGGCGAGCCTGATGCATTTCGTGGATTTCGTGCTCCTCATTCTTCTCATAATGATTTGGGCTGTTTGCCCTGCAGACAGCTTAGCAATCATAGGCCACTGGCTCCAAGCTTGGTTTCAAGAGGTAAGATGATCAACGTTCTACAGAGCATTTGTCTAGCTCCTGCAACGGGGGTGTTCTTTGTGGGGGGAGGTCTCTGTATTACAGGACACAATGCTTCATTTAATAGACTGTGGACCTGATCTAGCAGTAAACTTACGGTCTTAAGTCAGCTTGCGTGTTGGATCTAAGAAGGGGAAAGTAACTGCAGTTCAGCCTGGGTGAGTAGCTAACTACAAGCCCGGGCTTGCCTTTTCGCCATGGGAAGCAGGTCTTGATCTCACTGTTTTAAAAATAAGACGGAGTCGCAACAAAAGTAGGTCATTTTGTGGGTGTATTATGCATACTGTCATAGGTGTGGTTTGTTTGTTTGTTTGTTTTTAAAAAACACCATTGGATTGATTCACGAAAGACACATATATTGCCTTCTAGTTTGTAAACTTCAGACTGTTGTGAGCTGGGAGTCAACGCTAGGAAATGGAAGTACTTTGTTATTTCCCTGGCCGCTGCTATGAGCCAGTAAACATTTTTCTTATAAATTCGTTCTGCTGGCCCTGGACATACTACTGAGTGGAGCATACTTACCTAGAATCAATAATTTAAATTCTACTGTAGCATTCATCACCCACAACATTCAATCTCTGGAGGATGGCATGCATTTTGCAATAGAACTTCCTTCTCCTTTTATGCCTTTGCATTTTTAAAGGTTAGCTTGATCACCCGGAAAACGATTTAAAATGCAATATTGTTCTTCGTACATCTGTTGAGCCAATATTGTGCTATTTTCATATCCTTGGGTGAAATCCACAGATCTCCCCAAGTGATCCGAGAACCTCGGATGCCCTGAGATCCTTCCACTTGGCTTTCTTTCTTTCTTTCTTTCTTTCTTTCTTTCTTTCTTTCTCTTTTGCTCCGTGCTACAAGGCTCATTAACCAGGAACTGAGAAGAGAATAAATGGTCCTGCTCTCCCTGCAAAGTTTCTTATTACACTTGAACTTCCTGCCAGTCAGGAATAAAATCAGAGATGTAGGAAAAGGCAGTTCAGTAACCTAACCTAAAATGGCTGAGAGAACTGTCAGGATGATCAATGATACTTCAGCACCAGGCTTGCTTTATAGTACACAAGTTGCCAAACCCAGTTCTTCGCTCTCTGTCACATTTGGCAGTTTCTTTCCCTTCACGTTCCAGAAGTGTAAAATGCCTGTGGTAGCTCTTTTCTTTTTAAAAAGGGAGGTGCCAGGAAAACTTCTGAGGTTGCAGAAACGTGGTGATTTTATTATTGCTGTTTCTTGGTTTCCACAGCTGTCTGGGCTGGGTATGTTGCTGCTCCCTCTAGCAATATTCCATATTATCCTCTCAAGTCAATGTTGTAACTTTGTATTATCACTCTGACAACCGGAAGTCAATAAGTCGCATAATTATCGTATTTTTCGCACCATAGGGCTCACCGGACCATAGGGCGCACCTAGTTTTTAGACGGGGAAATCAATAAAAAAAATCTCCCCCTCCCAGCCCCAAAGAGCAGCGTACAGGCTGCGCACAACCTCTCCCTGCCGGAGGGGTTGCGCACGGCTATGGAACAAGCCAAGGCAGCGAGCGGGATGGATCCCGCTGGCTGCTTTGGCTTCCTCTTTAGCCCCGCGCAATCCCTCCCTGCCAGGAGAGGCTGCGCAGGGCTAAAGAAGCCATAGCCCCGTGCAGCCTCTCCATGCCGGAGGGGTTGTGCGTGGCTATGGCACAAGCCTGCATTCGCTCCATAGGACGCACACACATTTCCCCTCAATTTTTGGAGGGGGAAAACTGCATCCAATGGAGCGAAAAATACGGTAAATGTGATCTCTGGTGACCCACAAGGCACTGAGCAAGACTATTTTGCGATACCTCTTTGAAAAGATTGGCTTCTCAAATTAAATTTTTTTATTTCATTTGGTAGTGTTCATAAACCACCTTTCGTTGTGAAAAATAAGGCGGTTTACAAAATAAAACCGCTACAGTAAAGTAACAATATAACATAGTTAGTGCCTTGGAATAACCGTGTGGCCAAGTAGTTTTTTTACCAGCTGGTGAAAATATATTATTGCAAGATTAATACATGATTAATACAAGATTTGAAAAACCACATCCTCAGAGTACTGAATTAAAAAGATCCCAATTCCACTATTGTCAGTGACACTTTGGAAGGGGAGTAAGTTTATGAAACCTGTGGTCCATGCAAATTATGAGGTATTTCAAATACAGTTGGAAATATGGTATCAATTCAAATGGACTTTGGTCCATTACAGAACTAGGGCAAGGGCCCCTGTGGCTGTGCAGGTGGTTCCTGACCACTGGGTATGCAGACTGGGGCTGATGGGAGTTGGAGTCTATCCACATCTGTAGGCCCCATGTGCTCCCCATGCCTATAGGGTTAAAACAAAACGAAATTTGGCAGTATTGTCAAATATCGGGCGGAAAAATCAGGTTTTTTGTTTGTTTGTTTTTAAAAGGAACAAACATGGAAACTGAATAAACTCTATTACAGCTGAGGAGAGTCTTGAGGCTGTAATAAGGCATGTCCATCTTTCATATCCACAATTTACTTTCAGTTGGGCTACTGCACAGAAAACCTGATATCCAAGTTTTTTTGCTGTCATAATTGCAGTGTGAAGCCTTACAATGTGTGGGTAATTTCCCATGACATTTTGGGAACTGGGCGGCAGGTAGATTGGAGCTGGGCAGGGCTTTCCTTGGGGCGAGACGGTGCCTCTTCTACAGTCATCCTAAGTTGTTACCATCCGCCCTCATCACCGCTCTCTCTGACTTCGATCTCTGTGCTCTGCTGTCACTGCCAGTCGTTGGTTTACACTGTATTATAATTCATGGATATTTGCATTACATTTTGCATTGAAAAGCTTTAATATGAGGGGGAAAGCACTCTGCATATGCTCCGAGGTGCTTTTTTCCTTAAGACCTCTGCCATGGATTTAAAGGTGAACACACATATTGCGGTGCTTCAGTGTTTTTTGTAACCTCTGTAAAATGGGACCAATGACAGCTAAATGGTCTAAATGCAATAAAGCACATAGATGTCTCTTTATCTGTATCTGATGTGTCTGCAGCATACCTCACTGCTTTTATTACCCATCTGGCTGCATGCATTTTAGTTTCCTTTTTTCACCTGTGGCTAGCTCTGGCCTCTTGTCATTATTTGCCAGGCCATGCAAATACTCCCCGCTTAGCTGCACCCACTACTTCAATCTATAAAATGCTGGAGCATATCCTATCATTCTGTCTACTGTAGACCAGAGAGAGAGAGAGAAAAAAAAGTGAAGAAGCACCGCTGGCATGCATGGCTTTTATTGGAACCAAACTCTAGAATGCAGCAGGTCCTCAGCCAGGCTGCTAATGCAACTGCTGATTTAGCTTCTTCCTAAATTCACCAGGAAAAATGTACATCTACAGCCACTTCTCTAAGCGCTTTGCAGAAAGAGTAGGAGGGGGAGCGCTTCTGCTGAAACTTGTCTGTTTGTTGCATGTAAGTTAGGAAAATCCTTACTTTGGTTTCAGAAACTGGCAAGAAGAAAGTTCTGATGTCTCTTTCCTTTCCCTTCTAGTTGCTGTTCAATAGGCCATATAGCAGAACATTGGAAGCGGAAGCTGACAAAATTGGGCTTTGGTTTGCTGCTAAGGTAATAATAGCTTTTGGCAACAGGATAGAAAATGTTCCTTTGCTTCATTTTAAGTAGACAGTGTTTTTCACAAATGGTTTTCTGTGTATACTTGCAGCACCTTTTAAATGTATTTGCTGTTTTTGTGTTTTTAAATGTTTTTGTGTGTAAACCGCCATGAGATGGTTGCTTCGAATGTGATTAATAAAAATGATATTATGAATAATAATTTGGGATTTCAGTATGAGGCTCATCAAAATACAAAAAATCCTTACCATTTCGTATGTACAGGAATGGGATAACTGTACCACCACTGCCACCTAGCGTTATTATTATTATTAGAATTTATTATTAGAACACACAAACTACAGTGGTACCTCGGGTTAGGTACTTAATTCATTCCGGAGGTCCGTACTTAACCTGAAACTGTTCTTAACCTGAAGCACCACTTTAGTTAATGGGGCCTCCTGCTGCCGCTGCGCTGCCAGAGCCCGATTTCTGTTCTCATCCTGAAGCAAAGTTCTTAACCAAGGTACTATTTCTGGGTTAGCGGAGTCTGTAACCTGAAGTGTATGTAACCTGAAGTGTATGTAACCTGAGGTACCACTGTAGTTAGCTTGACTGCTGGGAGAGAAACAAAGTTAGTGGACCACTTATTTTCACAGGCATTTTTGCAAACAGTGCTGTTCACAAGAACTTTTATTCCTCTGGGTGAAAATCCATCAAGCTTCTTTCTAGGGTTGACGATATTGCCAATGCTTATTGGTTTATTACAATTATTTATATTTGGCCTTTGAGGATACAGAAAAGTAGAAAGCATTTATGCCCAAAGGAGAGAATGATGCTTCAGCATGTACTTAAAGGGTGTCTGGATGAGGGAAAACGGCCTTTATTATATTTATTTATTTATTTGCTTGTTTGCTTTTTCACCTCACTTTTCTCCATTCTGGAACAAAGGGCAGCTTCATATAACAAATTGTTAAAACCACCCTCTTCAATGAAATATAAAACATAAATAACAAATTACTCCCTTATAATAGATACCACAGTGCAGCTGCTTTATTAGCCATAGGCGCTGGCTTCTGACGGCTGAGACACTTCCTCCCCCCCCCCATGTGTTCTGTGTTTTTGGAGTGGACCAGGAGCCCTCAATGTTCAGAGGGCTGCATGCACGATGTCAGGATGTCGCACAACATCTCCTCAATCTCCTGGAGAAGCTGGTGCCTCAGATAAGGGCTCACATCTCCCCAGAACACAGTAATATTTATTATCCAAATGCCTGGAGCATCTTTAACCTGGTACGTGTGTATCTCTCAGTTCTGCGTCCGCAGCTATGGAGACCTCTAATTTGCCCTGGAGAGGTGTAGGTTTCAGATCATCCCAGCCTAGGAAGCTATTTGAGTACTAAGCCAAAGCAAAGGGAAAGGGTTAATCAGATCTTTATTGGAAAAGTGTAGTCACTGAGAAAAATATTTGAAAAGAAATGTAACTTGAGATGAGAAATTTCAGTCTATGAGAAAGAGACGCTTTGTAGTTGTAATACAGAACTACTTGTTCGAAAAGGGAGAAAGAATGAAAGTGGTGGAGACCTGTGTTGCAGTTATCAACTTGAACTTGTAACAACACCAATTGAAACAGAGGACAGCCTGGTTCACATGTCACAGTGAGGCATACTGGGACCGTGTAAATGTGCTGGTTGCTGGAGAGACCCAGATCTGTGGAATCAGTGCTGCTACAAATGCTTTGATTGTTAACCAAAACTCTTAAAAACAACTCCTCTCTCTCTCTCTCTCTCTGTGTGTGTGTGCATTAATTCAGAGAAGTATTGGGTTTTAAGCCAAATACAGATTTATTTATTTATTTATTTAAAAATAAGCTCTTCCCTTCTTTCCTTCCGTGGCGTGTTTATTTGTCTCGAGCACTTTATAAGTCTGTTTCCATTTCATCCATTTTGCTACAGCAGCTCCTTCTTTGCCTGTAAAGGTCAAGAACTTAACCCAGATGGTTTTGCTTCTATTAGCATAATTGGTATCTCCTCCTCTTGCATTGGCATATGTGCAGAAATGCCACCTGTTCCGTTTCAAGAGTTGTTTGCATTTGCAGGCACTGTGCAGTTTCCCCATGACTCGAGTTCCAGCTTTCAATACTTTTATTAAAAAAAATAATAATCAATATAGGTTGTTGTTGTTTTAAAAAACAATTTCCCAGTGTTAGTTTGCTAATGTTAAGCAGTTCTTCCTTTTACTCTTCCTTTAGCATTTAGCATATGCTACAGAACCCAGTAGTTCCATAATTTTAATTTTAATTTATAACCCAGTACATGCCATTAGCAAGCTCCAGCCTTTCATTTGATATAAATGCTCATTTATTTTACTTTTTTCTCTTTCCCATGGTTTTCTCCTTTAACCATGGAAATAAAACAGTTTTCCCTTGATCATTGATATCATAACATTTATGATACTTTGCCACTTACATTTCCCTTCTAGAAAATGTATTTTTCTGCTGCCAGCTCTGACTATTATCGTCTCAGGTTTCCTGCATGGTGTGTCATTGTTTAGAGTTGCATCTGAACCAGCTCACCTGCGAAGCACTTTTTTGCTCAGCCCAGAAATTAACAACTTGATTTTATTTTGTTAAGGCTATACCTGTTGCTCCCAAGAGTTTCAGAGCACTGAAGACGTAGAGAAACCTACTTATCTATGCTTTTTCTCTGCTTTTGATGTGAAGGAAACGGCCAGTGATGTTTACAAGCATCTTAAGATTGCAGTTCAGTATCTTTCTGAGGTATCACCTTCTCTTTCTTTCTAGGCTTGTATGGATGTAAGAGCAAGTTCTGTATTCTGGCAGAAAATGGAGCTAGCTGAGACTCTTACAGGGCAACCAAGGGTGCCAGAATGGTTTTCTACACACCCCTCCCATGAGAATCGTGCTGAGCATTTGGACAGACTTATTCCAGAGGTGAGGTGGTTTGGGAGTTTTGGTGTGTTTAAACTGAGTATCATTTGTCACATGTCTGCCCTATCCTTCTTTGAGTTGCCAAGGGCAGTGTATATATAGGATTGATTTCGCACACTCACACACTCCAAATCTAATGGTCATTATGGGTTGCTTTCTTAGCTGCCAATTTTCTAAGACAAAGATACTGTAGAAGTACTTGCTGTATATTGCTTAGATTTACTGAAATCTATCTTGGTCCCCCCAAGTGGCAGACCTTCAGCTTTCTTGCAGGAACAAATGTGCCTCTCTCTTCAGCAACTCTTATCCTGTTCCCGTTTCCTATTTATCATTTATACATTTGCAAACTGCTTTGTAATCTTTGCCCTCAAATGATCCTGTCATTGTTCATCTTTCAGTCATGTCTAGGGCCATACAATAATCCTATGGCAAAGGTGAGATTTGAAACCAGACCTCTTAGGTCCAGGCTAAATGTTACCTAGTGTTGGAGCACGTTTGTCTGTAAGTAATCTTAATGGAGTGCTTTAATGTGGCCTCAGTCTCAATGCTTTTGGATTTTTAGCAGTGGACACTAGTCCAGGCGATTATGAACAAGCTGTTCCTCTAAGCTTCTGTCAAATCTGCCATTTCATAGGATTTGAGCTCAAGTGCAACTGCTTGTCTCTTGGGCCCTAACTCACAGGCACTAACTAAGAACTGTTTTGCATGCAATGTTAAACCATATTTAAACAGAAGCTAATGTAGAAGGGACGCGGGTGGTGCTGTGGGTTAAACCACAGAGTCTAGGACTTGTAGATCAGAAGGTCGGTGGTTCGAATCCCCGCGACGGGATGAGCTCCCGTTGCTCAGTCCCTGCTCCTGCCAACCTAGCAGTTTGAAAGCACGTCAAAGTGCAAGTAGATAAATAGGTACCGCTCCGGCGGGAAGGTAAATGGCATTTCCGTGCACTGCTCTGGTTCTCCAGAAGAGGCATAGTCATGCTGGCCACATGACCCGGAAGCTGTACGTCGTTTATCTTGCACATAAACAACACATAAAGTGCAATAACATAGACGGAAGTCCCAATAAATCAGTTCTTTCACAAAGACCAAATATCTGCTGGTTTCTGTTCCACATATGTTCATAAAGTCCAAATTGGAGCCTACTACAGTTCCACAGTGTTGACAAGGATTTTCGGAATAATGCCTTGTTTTGCTCTCATGGGCTTCATCAGTGGTACATGTTCATATGTAGTATATCAAAGTCATGGAACTTGCACTCCTGGGCTTCATCATATTCTAAGTAATATAAATTAATATAATGTCATAATTCAACGTATTTTAACAAATTAAAATTGTATAAACAATTGTGCTATAGAAGTACATACCATATATGAAGTATCAAGATAATAGAACTTAGAACAGCGGTTTCTTCAGTGAACAACAACTGTTACAATGTAAGATTATATAGACAGGCGCAGCATTGATTTTAGTTACAGGTGACAGCAATCTGCAGCTGTAAGCTTTTCTTCTTAAAGTGACCCCTTTAAAACAACAAATGTAAAGCAAACTTTATCCATACACAGGTGTTATACATACAAGCATTAGTAATGACTCATAGAAAGCAACTATAATCAATTTCAGTATTCAAACCTGAGGGATGCAAAGAATCAGGTAGGAAAATAAATCTAGTTTCTTTTTGCATAAGAACTTTCTTTGCTCGTTTTACAGGTCCTAGATATACCCAAATTACGAAAAATGTCATATCTTCATCTGAATGTGACGCTGTACTAAAGGAGCGTCAATGAAGCAGGAGTTGGGAAAGAGCAAAGCAAACACCTGTTTGCATTAAACTATAGGTTGGTTTTTTTAAAAAAAACAAACAAACATTAAAGGGGCTTTAATATTTTAGGAGTAATGTTTTCTCTTCACATTCTGGTTCTGATTTCGTGGTACTCTTGGCTTGAGTCCATACCAGTGAATCTCTGGTGCAGTAATAATACTTATTAGTGCTGTGGTCCCCAGTCTTTTGCAGCAAACATTTCCTGAACCTTGTATGCTATGTCCTGTTTGTTCTGTAATATCAACTTTTCTCATCATAAATTGGTTTACTGTTTAGGGATGAGATGAAAACCAATTTATACAGAGCAAGTTATGTACTCCTTTTTATATGTTTCTAAATATGCTGTTTTGAAAGGCATCAGTTGACATGCTTAGTGTTTTCTTTTTTTTTTTAATGAGAACAACTACCAAATCTGAAAATAGAGTGCAAATTGCAAATACACATATTAGATGCAGAGTCTGCAAAATAATGGTGATATATAATGAAACAAATTTATACACAAATTGGCCAGTACAGACATAATCTTAGAGGGCAAGAAGATAATTTATATTGGTTATCTTCCAGTCTCCTCTTCAGTCAAATATTTCTGTGACAGGAATAGTAAGTGGATCACTAGAAGTGTGACATGAAGGATCTTCTTGCTCTGCTCACTCACCTAGCCAGCAGTATCTGGAAAGCTCATTAACCGTTTTTGTTGTCCTTGGATTTAGGAAGAGAGTTGTGGTTTGCATGTTGTTCTCCTTTAGAAATGGCATGTATATTGTGCATTTTGTTCGCTGACAGTTAAACTGAAGATTGCTCTGCTTTATTTGGAGACATACCGTATTTTTCGCCCTATAGGACACACTTTTTCCCCTCCAAAAATGAAGGGGAAATGTGTGTGCGCCCTATGGGGCGAATGCAGGTTCGCTGAAGCCTGGAGAGCGAGAGGGCCGGTGCGCACCGACCCCTCTCGCTCTCCAGGCTTCAGGAAGCTCTGCGCAACCTCGGGAGACCGGCTCCGAGGGTTGCGCAGAGCTGCCTGCAGTCCCGGGCTCAGCGCAGCTCTGCGCGGCCACCGGGAGCCGGGCGCAAAGTCCCGCCCCGCTCCCGATGGCCGGGCAGAGCTGCCTGCAGTCCCGGGATCAGCGCAGCTCTGCATGGCCACCGGGAGCCGGGCGCGAAGTCCCGCCCCGCTCCGGATGGTCGCGCAGAGCTGCCTGCCGTCCCGGGATCAGCGCAGCTCTGCATGGCCACCGGGAGCCGGGCGCGAAGTCCCGCCCCGCTCCGGATGGCCGCGGAGAGCTGCCTGCAGTCCCGGGATCAGCGCACTTCTCCCCATCGCCAGCCCCACAAGCTCGGGGGACAGCGGGGAGGCAGAGCGCGCCTTCCCGCTGTTCCCCGACCTAGTTCTTCCAGCCCCGCACCTGGGGGGGAAATAAATTTTTTTTTCTTTATTTCCCCCCCAAAAAAACTAGGTGCGTCCTATGGGCCGGAGCGTCCTATGGGGCGCAAAATACGGTACTTTGTTTTCGTTTTATTCCGTAATGTTGCATGTTTACATATAGATTTGCTTTAACCAGGCTTTGTTCCACAAATCATAAGTTGTCTAATAGATGAGAAAATACACCATGACTCCCCAACCCCTCCCTGAGCTTGCTTTGTTTTCCAGCTGTGCTTGCCTTATGCCTCTTGTCTGGGGCGGGGTGGCTGAACAAACCATGGTTAAGCAAAGTTTATGGATTTGGACATGATGCCAAACCATAGTTAAAACAAACCATGGTTCTATGCCAACAACAAACCACAGCTTCACGTCATGTTTTGTTGGCAACTCCCATTAGCCTTTGGGCTGGATTGAATGTTCAAACCATAGGTAGGCCAAACAAACTATGGCTTAGTGTTTGCGCAAAACCGCTCAGTATAGCTTAGAATTCTTACAAACTCCTTAGGATGTCAGAAATTATGATTAGGCAATTTTTGATGATGATGATGTGTATACTAGCTTTCATCCAAGACTGGTTCTCAGGAGGTTCATAACATGTCTGGTATAGTATGCTAAGGGTTGAGTCAGGCATTTGATGCTAAGGAGACTGTCGATGAAGAAGTTCAGATGATCAGAAGAGAAGCTGACTCTGGAATACAAATGCAGCCTGCTATGGATTGCTTTGTACTCCATCCAAAGTCCCAGTGGGTTCAGGAGCTGGCATAGCTCCTCGATATCCAAGTGGCTGTTGTGACTGGGAATGCCTTTGCCCAGCTTCAGCTGGTGCACAAGTTGCACCTCTTCCTGAAGTACCAACACCTCCCACAAGAACTGGCCCAACAGTTGCCATTGATATTAGGCAGATGCCTTATTTTTTAGCATGAGCTTCAAACATCTTTGTTTAGGCAAGTCTACCCTAGTTTTTAATTACCGTATTTTTCGCTCTATAAGACGCACCAGACCACAAGACGCACCTAGTTTTTGGAGGAGGAAAACAAGAAAAAAAATATTCTGAATCTTAGAAGCCAGAACAGCAAGAGGGATTGCTGCACAGTGAAAGCAGCAATCCCTCTTGCTGTTCTGGCTACTGGGATAGCTGCGCAGCCTGCATTCGTTCTATAAGATGCACACACATTTCCCCTTACTTTTTAGGAGGGAAAAAGTGAGTCTTATAGAGCAAAAAATACGGTATTTGTTTTTAACTGTAAACTGCTTAGAGATTTTGCTACAATCAAGTGGTATGCAACTTTTGTTGCATAAGAAGAAGAAGCAGCAGCTGTGATTGTCACCAAAATTTCTGCTCTGTGTTCTGTTGCCAAGGGAGTACACTTGTCAATGACACGAAACCAGGGCTTTTTCAGTGACAGTACCCTGGTTGTGGGACTCTCTCTTTGTAGTTCAGCTGGTCTTGCCTTTATGTCTTTTAAGCAGACAGTCCGGACCTTTTTATTCTGCCCAGCTTTTCATGGTTCTTAAGTGGTTGTTAATTTTTCTCTCTTGATGCTTTTTTTTATTGATTTGTTTTTAATATTTTTTATTGCTCTCACTTTATTATAGGGTACGGCATGTGGCCTTATGGACTGCTGGGAGGTGGAGTGAGTCTGGGGAAAGCAGAGAGAGAGAGAGAGAGAGAGAGAGAGAGAGAGAGAGAGAGAGATTTAGTAGGGCCACAGTTGCTGCATATGCACATCCCAGTAAACCATGGTTAATGGCTTGCTGTGAGCGTGCCAATTGCTTTCACTTCATTCTTTCCCTCTAGCAAGTGGGAGCAGCAGACCATAGCCCTCTGCTTACTTTTATACTTGAACCAAGGATCATGGTTTGTTGTTGTGCTCCTCACTTTCATGACCAACAGTGGTCCCTGGTTTGCAAACGCAGCCATGCGGCAACTTAACTTAAGCATCCCCTGGTTTGTGACCACAAGGCATGTGATTCCTTCATCATCTTAAGTACCGTGCCTTCTTTCTACAAATCTACTGATCGAACAATATACAGTGGTACCTCGGATTAAGTACTTAATTCGTTCCGGAGGTCCGTTCTTAACCTGAAACTGTTTTTAACCCGAAGCACCACTTTAGCTAATGGGGCCTCCTGCTGCCGCCACGCCGCCGGAGCATGATTTCTGTTCTCATCCTGAAGCAAAGTTCTTAACCTGAAGCACTATTTCTGGATTAGCGGAGTCTGTAACCTGAAGCGTATGTAACCCGAGGTACCACTGTAGCGTGAGAAGAAGAAATACAGAATTTCCTAGAGATGACCTAAAGTATTTCTCCCCCCCAACCCACCCACCCCCATATATGAGAGGGGGAAATCCCAGCTGTTTTCAAGCCTGTGGTATTGGAGCCTTCCAGGATTAAAAGCAAGTGCTGACTCTTATTGAAAAGCTGTGTGATCCATTCTTCCTGCAAGGCTGACTGTTTTCAAAGCACTGACACATTTATGTAAAGAAAAGCCATTCCGGCTTACCTTGAGCTGTGCAGCAAGAAGTGGAAAGGGGTTTTAAATTGGGCATGGGAAGGGAGGAACATTGGTTTTCAGGGTGGTTGGGGAGATATTTTAAAATGTAAGGTTAGGTTTCAGAGATTTAGGATCAGAAGGAAGTCAGATGGGAAATTTAACACATGGATAGTCAAAGGTAGAAAATGCAGAGAACCAATAATTTTAAATGCTCTTTTTGGGATGACTTTAGGTTGCTGTTGGACCCATGAGTAAAAAGCCCCCCCCCCCCCCGGTTAAGCAGCTGACATTAATGGCATTAGGGAGGGGTTCCTATGAAGACGTTCATTGAGTTCTCATTGTATTAATTTCAAATTTGTCCAAATAGTGTATATAACATAATTTCACTGCAGCTTTCAAGGAAACATTTCCTCCTTAGAGTTGATAATGCAAAATGTGCCATTTAAAAAGAAATTAATTGAAAATCCAGAGGAATGCATGCATAACTGTCTGTGCTGCTACACGTGTCTGCATGAGAGAGATAGACAGGGGGAATAGCAGAGATATATTTCAGTTTTGTATCTCTCAGTGGTAAGATGAAGATTTTCCAAACTGTGGATTATAGCTACTTAAATTATGATGAGTGGAATGTTGAAAGCAGCTATAGTTGATACTGAAGCCTAGGAAATACTCTGTTGTGAGCTTAAAAACACAACAAAGCTTATTTTTATTTACTGTTCTCTTTCATTTGATGTCACTTTGTGAATTCCATTCTAAACTAAGTGTTCAGTGTTTGGGGAAAGATTTTCAAAAGCAAAAAGTGGCATTTACATCTCATTGAATATTGCTATGTCGCGCCTGGGAAATGCTGTCCCTTGGGTTTCATTCACATGCCGGCCTTTTAAAAGGTAATTGTACTTCCTGGCTACCAAATCCCTAAGTAGTTGCGGTGACTTTCCCCCCTACATCCATAATTAATGCAATAGTGGCATCTGCATTGGGGGTCATAAGAATATGTCACAGAACACAATATACTGATTCTGTGGGGCTGCTGCCACGAGATACTAGACAGTTGAACTTTCCATAGGCATGATTTACATGGTAGGACTTGCATCTGTCATTTTAGAAGTTCTCTCAAATGCCACAGCTCTTTCTGCTAAGAAGCTCAGATGGTGTATGCATGTGATTGGGGACTTACCAGTGGGAAAGAAATCGTTGCCTGGTCCCTAACAAAAATGCTGTTCTACCTGGTATTTGCTAACCCTTGTCTCAGGATAGTTCTAGGTATATCAGGCAATTCGCATTGCTATGTCCCTTTGCATGCCCATCCAGATTAAAGGTCATGAAGGCGCTGTGCTGAACCATATTAGGGTTTTGTTACAGAGGCAGGGATAAAGACACACACAGCCTCAGCCCAGTCATGTCTTTCCCCTTAAATCCTCTGCAACACAAGCAATACTGTGTGCTTGGTCAAGCAGCATAGCCCGATCACGTTTCCAAGTTACATGTTGATAAAATCATTTTGCCACTGGAAACACAGCTGAGGCCTCTCTATCTTGTGACCAGGGACCACTTGTTCTGCTTTGAATTGTGCCCTTCGAGGACTGACTCTCTTTTTTCTGGCATGCCTCCTTGAACATGCCAGTACAGGCAGAAATTCAACCAGAGCAGCTTTTCCTAGCAGGCCTCTTTACCTTTTGTCTGGCTGCTTTCATTGCAAGGGCTCCCAGCGACAGCAGCCCCTGGTGGGCAATCTGGTTTTCCAAACCTCTTCCATAGGTATCCCCCAAACGTGACAAAATCCTGCTCAGCAGCTTATCTGGCATTTAGCATAATGGTTAGAGCATACAATCAGGGCTTGTTCCAAAGCAGTGGTCATTCCACTCTAGGGTAGCCAGGATAACTTTATGGAGCGCCCACCCACTTGCTAAAGGCCATCGCTGCTGAGGCCTACGTATCCCCCTTGGATGTGGAGATATGAGCTCAAGTGGCTGCCCTGTAGATTTTTTCCAGGGGGGTGCTCTTGTGGAATGCAGCTGTGGTTGCCACCCCCCCCAACTGAGTTGGCAGGGATCTGCAAGTGTGAGGTCTTAGCTTTGGCTCTGAGGCCCTGACCATGCAGACGTTGGGCAGGACTATGTCTTGATCTCTGTGGAAACTGGTGTTAACCTTGAGTATGACGTTGGGGTCTGGTTCCAGGAGCACTTGGTTGGGATGAAAGGTGCATAGCTTCTACTTGGCTGAATTAATATGTGCTTTAATGAGATTGCCTGTGTTATGACACAGTTTAAAACTTTAGAATTTAAAACTACTCTCAGTTTAGCATTATGTGCAAACTAGGGATTTTAGTTCTAAATAAAGAGCTATCAGTTAAGGCACCTTCATACCCCCTGGTTTAAAGATGACTTGTTTAGAATACGCTGCAAGTCAGTGTCTGATTTCTTGGTAGGAAACGTGTGAATAATTTTGGACAACATGGAAGAATAAAAGAAATGCAGATTGTACCTTTAGAGGAGAGATTTTCCTCAAGACCACGAAAGGGGAGGGAAGTGTTAAATACCCCCTCTGTATTGGTGTGATCCCTAAAATAATCACACATACCCAAATGCTATCTGCCTGTTAAAAAACCTGCATGTTAAACTCAAAGGCACTTCTTTATTTAGGGGCCAGTGGTGTAAATAGACTGTCCCTGTTTGACAGGAGTAGGACATAAAGGTAATCTTAAAACAAAACAACACAGTATAATTGTCCAATGTTCTGAATCACAAGTATTTGCTATAAAGTATGCCCCAGGTTTTAGATAATTTATGGAGAAGCTGCTTGCTCTGTACAAACATCACTCATTCTCAGTCCAGATTTCACGTTGCTTGTGACACAGACAAACTCAAAGGTAAATATTTTACTAGCTGGTATAATTGAATTGGCCTTGAAACTGCACGGGGCTAGAAAACCTAACATTTTCAGAATTGGAAGAAAAAAACACCCCTTTTCTTGGATTATACGATGTGTACCTGCTGTACAGTAACGAACAGGCTGTCAACTAAAGATTGCATTTGTGAGAATATGTATTTTCTCAGGAAACCTGTTAGAAGAGAATGTGGCCACTTTTATTTCTACTTCTAAAGCATTCTTGTTCTAAATTACCTGGCAAACCCTCTCAAAGCTGCATAATTTTAAAGCAGCTTGCCTTTCCATAGTATTTTCTTGTTTTTGTTTAAAAAAATCTGATAAAGTAGATTACTTTGAGGACAGAATTCACACTTTCCCATGAGTTCTGTGGGTTTCCTTCCCTCAAGTGCTTTCTTGCTATGAATGAGACATGATAGAGCAAACGCCCAGATGATCTTCCGTGGTGCATTCTAAGTATATTGCCGTGCACAAGTCATTTGGCTGTGTTTTCTAAATAATATCCAGTCTTTGCCTCAGGGGGAAAGATGCGGATATTTTACATGAGTGAGAAAGAGAAGTTCACCATCACATAATAGGAACAAGCTACATAAAGAAACTTCTGCCATGAGCTCCCGTGGCTAAAGAATTAAATTGAAAAATATTGACTTATAGGTCACTACTTTAGTATACTTAAACATACAATAAATTAATGTGTTTTCACGCTATCTAAAGCACATTTCCCCCCAGGGTATGGCCTTAGGCTACACTTAGTGAGTAACCCCCATTGAACTAAATAGAACCAAGTAAACATGCATGGGATTGAATTGCTATTGTTATTTCTGCCATATATTCATATGAGGGGATCTCTGCTGTTGCGGCACACCTTAGGTCACGCTGCCACCTATTAGCAGGTCCTGACCCCACCAGTTGCAAAGCAGTGGCATATGTTGCCAGTAATGCCAGCGCACTGCTGGCCTTAAGCAAAACATCAGTAGCCAAGGAAGGGCACTCCCTTAATGAGACTTAACTTTTCCCATAGCGGTTGGAAATTGCTGCAAATATCACTCTGTCTGGAGTGTGGCTGCAGGAGAGGCCATGCTGAGCTCACCCCTCCCTCAGCCGTGCCTGTAGTCTTCATCTTGTATTTAATGGAGTATGAATCAGTGTGGCGGGTGTTTAATCAGCCACCTTTCGCCCCCTCTAACTGCTTGATGTGGAATAAGAAAGCAAAAGGAGGGGAATCCACCTCCACGGGGTACGAATGTTTTCTCTGAACCGTCTTGTGGCTCTTGATGGTTTTCCTTCTACATGCACCAGTGTTTTAGATAAGTTAAAGCAGAGAAAGGGGAGATAGACACTATATAGTTAAAAGAGAGAGGAGGGGGAGAAGCGTAGAGATTTAAAAATGCTAAATTAGTTTAAAAGCGGATTACATTGCCCTTTTCAAGATACAACCTAAATCTTTAGATTTCTACTTGGCTTGAATAATGCTGTTTGACATTAATGCAGTCTTGCAGTGGCTTCTGTTCAGCAAGAAGAACAAGAGGAAACTCTGCCATTGCGAATATCTGTTAAGGAATTGATTGGTTGCTGAAGTGGAAACGGCTTGATATACATCTTGTGAATTTCTATGGGCGATATTTGGAGGGCCATCTGGAAAACAAAGTTACATTTTTTAGAAGAAAAATGTACTCGCAGCAGGGGAGGGAGGAGATGGGAGCATAGTAAAAATAAATAAACGATGTCAGAGGGGTATGTGAGACCCTCAGCTCAGAGTGGTTTTGGTGATGAGTCAACTATTCTTTTTCCACCTTTGGATTGTGCAAATAAATAAATTAAAAGTTGTTTGGCTGGAACTTGTTTTCAAAAGCTGGTGTTTGTTTTTTGGCTAGTTTTAGAAAATAGCATTTATTTACATACTAAAAAAAAAGGCATTTTTTTGTGAGGAGAAATATGGCTTCAATAGCCAGCTGTGTGAGGGAAGCTTTTTATTCCTCTGTATCTAGGGGAAGTCACACAGACACAAAATGATTCTAAAATTTAAACTTAAAATAAAAATTGCTTCCTCACGCCAGCCAGAATTGTCTGTGTACTTAACTATGGCAACAGGAGATGGTCTCTTTGTGTTCCAGTGATGTGTATTACATGAGGGGTAGGCTGTGGCATTGAGAGCATGATTGGTTTGTGTAAACAGGTGATGTCTAAACTACAGTGAGGGTTTCTGCAAAATGCCAGCAGAAGCTACCTAAGCTTGACCATGAATCTGTTGTGAAGGTGGGGCGAGTGGGTCTTTATGGCATTTGCTTGATAAAGGCGCTCCACTTTTGCAACTCTCACCTACCCTTTGGTAGGCTGGCACCTACCCTTTTCTGCAGTGGCTCCCCGTTTGTGGAATGCACTCCCCAGGGAGGCTCACCTGGTGCCTTCATTACATATATTACATATATTGAGGTGATAGGCAAAAACATTCCAATCTATTGCCTTTTAAACTGTGTGTAGGGTTTTTTTATTGTTTTGGTTTGTTGCTATGTTAAGTATTTTGTGTTTTTATATTGTAAAATGTGATCCTTGGATGAAGGGCAGTAAGAAATTTAACATTTTTTTTTAAAAAAATAAAAAATAGCCACCACCTAAAGACTTAGTTATGTGTCCTGGCTTTCAGTAATATCTGGCACCAATATGAATGATTTTTGGTTGACTGGTTGTGACTTACCTGCCTGGCTTTTAATAACTGTGTTGTGAATTTGAAACTCTTTTAGTAAGTAACCCTTCTGAAGTCGCTGTGCAGTGAAGTTGGGTAAGAAATGTTTTGAATGGGTTTTTTTTTAAAAAAAAAAAAAAGCTTGATTGCACAGCATGTATTTAAGCCACTTTTGCAGCACCATAGCTAAATCAACTTTGAGTAATGTTGCAGTGATGCAAATACGGTTTGATGCTTGAGCAGATGATGAAACATTCAGATCCTTATTTTTAACTCTGCACAGATACACTGTGCCAACAGCATGCCAGTCTGGACAATTCCAGTTTGCCCATCATGTCAGTGCCATTTAGAACAATATGGGATATCGTGATAAGAATTTCATGACCAGCTTGACTTTTAAGGAACCAACTTATTGGAAGCATTTCTCTCTTTTTTTACTCTTAAAACATTCAGCATGCTTTCATGCGCAGCCAAAAAAGGAATTGCTTGAACTCAGCTGGAGGACAAGGAGAGGACAGAGGGTGAAGAAAGAGCTGTGAGTGGAGGGTGGACTTTTCCCATCCTTCCAACCCCATGGGAAATTCAACAAACCTGCTGTGGTCCATGCCCCCAGGGGTTCCATGGATGGGGTGGGAGGACCGGGCACAAAAAATGATTTCCCCAATGCAATAAAATAAATGCATGCAAAATTGTGTGCGTGCATGGATGCATTTTCCTGGGAAGGGTTTCCATCAGCTTTCATCAGATTCTCAAAGGGGGTCTGTGACTGCCTCCAAAAAATGTTAACAACCACCGCTATAGAGTCGTCTGCTATATATATATGCCTGTAATTTTATATTTTAATTAGCTGATTATAAATTATTAAAGCTATTCAAATAAAGTTTTGTAATTTAACACTGGCATCAAACCAGTATTCTTCTGGGTCAGAGAAGTATTTTTTGGTCTACGATGTGATTACATATTAATGACATTGTTTCCCTCGGAGGCCTCTGTTTCAGTGGACACAGTGGATTGGATCCAGAGAAAATGGGGCAGTAGGGAGCCAAAGAAAGCTGACTTCCCTGCCCCTTCTTCCTCCCCACCCCGCCATCCCTAGCTCTCCACAAAGTCTCCCCTAAGGGTTGGGAGTCTTGCTGAATTGGAAGGTAGCCTGGGCAGGAAGGGAGGCAGTCTTCAAAATCAGACTGAGGCAGTATGTTTAAGCAACCAGTATTAAACTTTATGCAGCCAAAAGGATCCAGTGAACTCCCAAGTGCACAAACCCTGACCACTCGTTAAATTGCTCTATACTTCATTAGTCTTTGCATTGTAGCAATCCTGGGAAGAAGCTCGTCATTTCCATTTTAAAAAAACTGGAGTTTGTTCTCCCACATGGTAACTTTCTTTCTTTGGTCTTTTTGTTGTTGCCGCCGCAGGTAATTAAAATCAGGGAGAAATGCAATTGCCCAGCTTTGCCTGGACAGGATCCACGCTTTGCTTTCAAACTGGCCAAGCAACAAATTCTGCAATCGTCTAAAAACGAGGGAGGCCTAAACCTCACTTACGATGCTCTTTACAGAACAAAGGAGAAGACACACGCGGACATAGTAGCTGGGAAATAACTCTGCAGGTGAAGGCAGAAATGCTTCATGGATTAACGTTATCCAAATTCTCAAGGCAAGTACTGTGCTTTTCAGGAAACTGCTTCAGAAATTTGAAATGGCCAGACGGACAGACAGTGCTATTAATTTATGGCCACAGTGTTTGACAGTGATGTGCCTCTGGAACCCGGCTCTTGAATGGATTTGCAGAAGAATGCTTCACATGCACAAGGAACACGAGGAGCAGTTTCCATGATGGAAGAGAACAGGAAACCTTTGTCTGCATGGGGGTGGGGGTGGGGCGGTGTTCAGCAGTGCCCCAGATGGCACTCGCATACATACTGCATGTATAACCAGGCTGTGATAGCAAATCCTCTTGTACACCGAAATGTTAGTCTGACTGTCAGAACTATGTTTTCCCCCAATCATGTTATAATCTCCTCCACACCCTGTTTCCCAATGGATGTTTCAAAGGGATGTCCAGCTGAGTGTGGTGGGGAGGGCAGGGAGGGCTGCATATTGGAAAAATGGAAACATTGCTTCTGTCTAAATGGCTATCCAAGGGCAGTTCTTGCAATGCAGTTTTAAGTTGTATCCCCAGGCTCAAGTTGGATACAAATCTGTCCTTTTGTCGCAAATAATGAAATAGTATCCCTTACCTGTGTAAATCCTCTTGAATTTGTTGCAAGCTCAGTTAGTTTTGTCCAATGATATTTATAAAATATTGGTAAGAATTCGCTGCCTTTTACAAGGATCAAGATGCAATAAACTGACCAGTGGTCTGGTTCGAATATCACCTAATTGGTTGACCTGCTGTTGGGATTCCCTCTCTTTGTACTCTCTAAAAGACAGATTGAGTCAACATTTCACTTTGAAGCAATCCCAAAGGACTGTGGAGTTAACCTTACAATGTAAACATGTTTGTAAGGCACAAGACAAAATTTTATTGGATAAAATGTGACATACAGCACTAAGGAGTACGGTAGATTATTTGTCGGTGTCATTTAAGTAAACAGAATACCACTTGGAAAGGTTAAATTAGTTACAGTAGACTTTGTCCTGGTCAGATCAGTGCTTGAAAACCCAGTGATTGATGCTCAAGGAAACTCCCTGGAGTTGGATGATGTGCTGTGAGGTGCCTGCTAGTGATTTATAAAGCAGCAAGGCATGCCACTAAAGCCACATAGTCCAGACTCAGTGATTCCACCCCCCGGTTCCTTGGGTAAATGTTTTGAGGCATAACTTCACTGATGTCTCTTACTGGACCATAATACTCCTTTGCTCCTTGTTGTCCTTGCAGATTTCCTCATTTTCACCACATGTTCCTGTTCTCCTGCATATGCCTGCATTAAAGTCTCAGCCATGGTTGCTAGACTGCATTTTGCTGCTATCCAACACTGAAACAGTTCTCTGAGTTCTAGCCTTTCTATGGACTGTAGACTATTGGGAAATATACATCCCCCCCCCCCCGTTTGCTTACTCTGGAAAACTGAAATTCCTCCACTTCATACTGTAGAACAAATATTAAATAAGAATTACTTGACACAGTACATCAGAGAAAGGCCCATGGCTTTCCACCTTTGGTCAACAGCATGGTCCTGTAACATTTAAAAGTTATTTGTATGTTCTTATATAAAAACCTGGGGAAATGTGGGGTGATGGAAGCTCTATCCCCCCCCCCGATGAAAATGTAAAAACATGAAACAATGCCACATACACAATATTTCCTCAAATAGGGGTCCCTGGTTCCATGTCCCCACTCATTGTAGAGCACCGCAGTGCCACAACTCTTATATTCACAAAATCTGCCAGTCCCATAGATGCCAGCTCAGATCCTAGTAGGATAGTGAAGAGGGCCAGATGAGGCTTCAGATCGATCTCAACTTTTAAGGGAGGAAGACTATCTTCCATTACTTAAGAAAGCTAGGGGTTGCCCCCTCTCACCCCTTCTGCTACCCAACAAGCCTTCAGGAGGCCAGTCTCTCTGCCATCTACCATTAGATTGCAGCCATAGTTGTGCCCACTAATTTCAGTGGGTCTTCTCTGAGTCTTACTTGGTTGGGTTTCTCCCATACTCGTGGAACAAATGGAAGGAGATGAAAAGCTGCTTTTAATTATTGCAAAGACTTCCAGACTTCTGAAGTCCATGAAACTCAGAATTGGCAGCTTTGGCTCTTTCATACACTGCTTCAGAGAAACAAAAACTGAAACGATCAACATGAACCTTCAATCGCAGAACCAATAAGACTGCAAGTGTTTTATTAGACATAGAGATGGAATCCGAAGCAGACACCTTGTTAAGGGCAGAGCTGCCTTGTCTTGTGAGACAGCACAACACCATATTTTTGCTTTTAAATTGCCTCTTTGTTTTGATTTCACTAAAAGAAAGCATCCAGTATCGACTGGACAAGTGTGAACTAACAAGCTCGTAAGTTGTAGTTTGTTTACTGACTTCAGCTGAAGAACATCAGCTCTCTGAGCAGTGCCAACACCTACCTAATTTATCTTTATTTGTAGGAGGTATTTTCAAGGTTGGCTCTGCCTCTGATTGCCAGACCTGATTCTTTGTGTCTTGATTTAGTGCCTACTGCTCCTAAGCCATGTATAGATCAGTATGCAAGATGCCAGCAACAGGTAAAAGCTCACCTTGACCATCTCCTGCCACTTCATTCTTTTCATTTGTAGTGACAGGAGATGTTTGTTTTTTAAACATAACAGCTCGGAAATTTGGCCACTGTCACATAAAGTAAACAGAAAAAAACACACTATGATAGTTCTTCTCACCCCTAGATTTGTACAACTTCTTATCTCACTGAGGAACATGTTGCAGGTGAATTGCTGTAGAGCACAAAAGGCAACTAATTGCAAAGGCCTTTGTGAATGTGCAGAGTTTTTACTTGGTTTTTAAAGTCACTCAGCATCCCAGAAAGCTGGTGGCACTACCAAGAATGCCTTGTTCCTAGTATGGCACCTGTGAAAGTCAGTTCTTGAAATTTATTGTGTTGTCAGCTACATACCGAGGAGGCTATTGTTTAAAGTGTCTAGGCCCCAAGCTGCTTACAGTTGTAAAGGTGACACCCAGCACCTCCTAAAAGGGAGCATGGAAAACGCCTCACATAATGCAGAATGGACAGTGCCAAAATAATGTGCTCAGTCTTTTCCAACAGTCGGATAGCTGCATTTTGGTCCAATTGAGGTTTCTGGGCATTTTTGTGAGCTTCCCCAGGTAAACTCTGCTACAGGAGTCTAGTGAGGAAGTTAGTTAAGCATAAATAACTGGCTAGGTCTGGCCTTTCCAGGGAAAGACATGGCTGGTGGTAAGAGCTGGGTGAGGGTACCATTTTAAATGGATGAGGGAGGAAGAAGTGCCTATACATAACATTAAACTTCTAAATAATGTGTGTTCTTATGTGTGCTCTTCCCATTTTCAGAGGCTTTTAGTGCCTCTAGGCAAGCTTCCAGGTATATATTTTATTTAAAAAAGGACTTTACATTTCTGCAATATGTGTTACTCTGTGTCCTCAGAGTAATTCCAGTCTTTACTGCACTCTGTGGTAGGATTGAATTGTAACTTGTGTGAATGAGCCATTACTGTTTCAGCTTAGAACAGGGGTTGGCAAGGTTTACCTCGCCTGGGCCGGTTCACTCCAGTGGAGATCCCTCCGTAGGCTGGATCGTGTGCGTGCGTGAGCATGCACGGCCATGATTTCCGGCATCTGAGCATGCACAGATGTGATTTCAGGCAATGTGGAAGCGAGTCCCCGCACTGCATTGCGCTGAGATAGTTTAGCACAGCGCGCAGGGACTCGTTGAGTGGGCAGTTTGGTTCGGGGGCCGGTTAAACAACCCCCGTGGGCCGCTTGTGGCCCATGGGCCATAGGTTGCCTACCCCTGGCTTAGAAGAAGGAACTCACCCTACAAAGAAAGAAGCAACAGGCAAGTTGACCATAGCCTTATTACAAGGTTTAGCATTTCACAGTTGCCTGCATATCCTGTGCAGCCTTTGTTTGAGTATTTGTTTGCTGGGAGCAGACTAGAATAATTGTAGGATCATCTAGTGCAGCCCCCTGGAATGCAGGACCCTCTTGCCCAGAGTCCGCCCCCGCCCCTGCTAATGGTTCAAAGAACATGTGGAGGCAGCAGAAGCGGCTATGCTGCTTTCCCACCAGAAATTGCACTTTTTGACCCAAAGGTATTTGTGTCAGGCAGTGCTTGTTGAGAAAATGAAACAAATGACAAAGTCGACCCCTTTCCTGGTCCCCAATCTCAATCTTTGACCTCCCCCTACACTTTTCCTAGGGCTTGTCCCCACCGGGCTTTGGTGACGATGTTTTCAAGGCCATTTGACCTGTAAAATCAACTTTCCTTAAGTACCTTTGCTACTTCTGTCTTCTTGCCAAAATAAATTAAGAGCCTTGTTATGTTCCGAAAGCATGAAAAAGCCTTTAGCAAAAGCTAGAAACTATCATTTTGACCCTTAATGGAATCACTTCTAAAATCCCCTCTAAGGAACAATCACCTTGATTTATTGCAATGCATCTCCAAGGCACAATAAAAGCAAGAGTTGCCATGTTGGCCCATAAGAAAACAAAACCAAACCCTCCGTTACTTTGCTTAGGATCCACTAAAGTGCCACAAAAATAGTAGCAAAGCTCTTTAGTTCTCTGGAATTCATCAGGTGAAATATTAGGAAGTGGAATGAATGAGGAAAAATAAAAAGCAAGAAAATAATAATAAAAAGGCTGGATGTTTAGGTTCACTTCCGACATGAAGACTGCAAATTCAATAGGAGTATCCAAGGTGTTATAGGGATCAATCGCACACTAGGGGAGTGGTGTGTGTGTGTGCGTCCCCAAGAATCCTGTATCTTACAATATTTGGTCTACACAGGACGCCCACAGTTGCTTGCAAGATTAACCAACATAACCAGAAAGTTTTGAGAAGAGAAGACTCCCTGGTAAAGACCCTGATGTTGGGAAAGATTGAGGGCACAAGGAGAAGGCGACAACAGAGGATGAGATGGTTGGACAGTGTTCTTGAAGCTACTAACATGAGTTTGACCAAACTGTGGGAGGCAGTGGAAGGCAGGAGTGCCTGGTGCACTCTGGTCCATGGGGTCACGAAGAGTTGGACACGACTAAATGACTAAACAACAACAACAACGATAACAAACCAGAAAGTGTAAAGTAGCCATTAAATTTGAAGCCGTGCTGAATTATTTTCTCTTTGTTCCTGTATAAGATCTTAGTAGTACTTGGTTATGTGACCTTTTTGTATTCAGTTGCAGGTGGAAGGGATAAAGGATTTTCTGTGCATCCAAAAAGGAAGAAGGAAATTGTTGTGCAACAGAATACCTTGTAAAATAATGCACCACTTGACAAAACCCAGCTTAAGTGCAGTGAAAAATAATGAAGATTTTGAACTCCTTTTACATCCTTGGCCATCACTGCTTGGTGGCCAGTCAGCCCACTTCAATTTCAATACCTACTCTTTTAAACAATTTTCTTAGATGTGCTGGCGGAGTGCATTGGTGAGGTTTTCCTCCTTCGCTGGCTTTTCTGTGCAGTGCTGAGTTTTAGAAATTTGTTTTATTTGTTGTATAACAATGTAAGAATCATTTTACCAGGGGCTATAGGAAGTTTAGCAATACCACAAGAGGTCTAATAGCACAATAGTGGCCTCCCCATATAAAAATAGCCCTGCAATAAAGCAGCACCATTGCCACTTGCTAATGAATGGCCCACAATAAGGAGATTACCAAAGCCTATTATTGGCTTTCTTTAAAATAAAAACTCATTGCATTAGAGAAGCTGTCTGTAAAACTTGCATTGTTCACTCATTGTCCGGTGTTCTTAAAAACTTTAGAAGAAGAGTAGAGGGGCAAGTGGAGGGACAAGCTGGACTACAACTCCCATCATTCGTGACCATGGCTCATTCTGGAGGGCCAAATGTTTTCCATCTCAGAATTAGACAATGAGATCTGAAC